TTGACCTTCCCCCTGCTGCCCGCTTGCCGCCCCCATCAGCGCATTCATCGGGTTGCTCTTTTGCTGCTCCTCCCACTCGGCGCGCATTTCCGGGTCCACTATCATTCATCACATTAGCAATCTATCCCACCCCTGTTTTTTCCTCATCAAGAAACTTACTATTCTCAATCAACTTTGGCATCCCAAAAAACAACCCCATCGAAACCAAACTCAGCAGGATAATCGGGTTCTTGAAGATGCTCAGCACCGAAAACGAACTCCTCTCCATGAAATAGCTCTTTTGGCCGGCCATCCTCGCCACAACCACCATCATCCCCGATTTCCCGTCCGACACCTCAGTAGAGACCTTCTCCCCTTTGTTTCCCCAGTCGTTGCCCCTGAACGTCTCCCATGCTTCAATCTTGATGGGTGATTGTTCTGACGGGTCCGAGGAGGAGGAGGAGGAGGGGGAAATGTCCACTCTGAGGGGAAGAAACGCGTGGGTGAGGCAGTGGATGTCTAGCAGATAAGAGCCGGGGGTGACGTTGTGGAAGTGGAAGTTGGATTTGTCCGACAATGGGGCGGAGTGGTGTTTGGTTAGGGAGTTGAGGGTCGCGTGTGTTTGGGGAAGGAGAGCGGCCGGGTTGGGGAGGGGGGCCGAGGGGGGGATGTGGACTGTTAGGGAGGTTTGAAGAGGGGGGTTGTTGTGGGTGAGGGCGGTGGCTGCTCCCAGGAGGGAGAGGAGGGTTGGTATTCTCATCGTTGGGGGTCGTGGCAAAATGTCGTTTGGATGGCTCGAAAGTTTGTGTATTCGGTAGGGAACTCGACACTGGTTAAACGGGCGCGCGCGTGTTGGGGTGGTGGTTGACCGTTGATGCTCTTTGGGTGGAGGTTGGACAAGATTCTGTTGTCAAGTTCCCTTGCGGAGCGGCAGCTACCCAGGTCCAAGTGACGAAACGCGGCTTACAGGGGGGCAGTGTGGGGTCTGATTGGCTGTTTCAGGGCTGGGGGCCCCTGCTGTAAACGACATCTTTCAGCCTTGGGCTGCTTGCTCTTTACATGGGTTGGATCACAGAGCTCGCAACATTCAAGATGGTATAATGGGTTGAAAGTTGAATTCTTTCTTTTATTTATCATCCAAAAAAAAAAAAAAAAACCCGCTCGCTTAGGTATTACATCTCATAAATCATTTAAACTTCAGTTGGCGCAGCATCAGTCTTGGTCCGATCGGCCACCTCTGTCTCCTCACCCTTTGTCGTCGAAGCCTCAGCAGCCTTGAACGCCTGCTCAAAGTCGGCAACGATGTCCTCAATGTGCTCAGTACCGACCGACACACGAATGAGATCCTCAGACACACCCGAGCTGATCTTCTCCTCGTCGGTGAGCTGCTCGTGAGTGGTGGTCCATGGGTGAATGGCAAGGGTCTTGGAGTCGCCAACGTTGGCAAGGTTGGAGATGAGCTTGAAGCTGTCGACAATCTGACTGCCGGCAGCACCGCCACCTTTGACACCGAAGCTCAAGACACCGCCGAAACCGCGCTTGAGGTACTTCTTGGCCAACTCGTGAGATGGGTGGCTCTCGAGACCGGGGTACGACACCCAGGCCACATATGGGCTGGCCTCGAGGTAACGAGCGAGGGTGAGGGCGTTGGAAGCGTGCCTCTCGGCACGGAGGGAGAGAGTCTCGATACCGAGGAGGAGCTGCTGGGCACCGAAGGGGTTGAGGCAGGCACCGAGGTCGCGGAGGAGCTCGACTCTAACTCTGATAGCATAGGTGATGGCACCGAAGGTCTCCCAGAACTTGAGCCCGTGGTAACCCTCGGAGGGCTCAACCATCTGGGGGAAGCGCTTGCCGTGCTTGCCCCAGTCGAACTTGCCGGCATCGACGATGACGCCACCGATGGTAGTACCGTGACCACCAATCCACTTGGTGGCAGAGTGGACGACGATATCAGCACCGTGCTCGATGGGGCGGACGAAGTAACCGCCGGCGCCGAAGGTGTTGTCGACAACCACGGGGATACCGTGCTCGTGGGCAATGTTGGCAATCTTCTCGAAGTCGGGGACGTTGTAGCGGGGGTTGCCAATGCTCTCAATGTAGACGGCCTTGGTCTTGTCGTCAATGACAGCGGCGAAGTCCTCGGGCTTGTCTCCCGTGACGAATTTGGTAGTGATGCCGAAGCGCTGAAAGAGGACCTTGAACTGGTTGTAGGTACCGCCGTAGAGGTTGGAGGTGGAAACGATGTTGTCACCGGAGTGAGCAAGAGCGGCAATGGCCATAAACTGAGCGGCCATGCCGGAGGAGGCGGCAACGGCAGCAACACCACCCTCGAGGGCGGCGATTCTCTTCTCGAATACATCGATGGTGGGGTTCATGATTCTGGAGTAGATGTTGCCAAACTCCTTGAGGCCGAAGAGGCGGGCACCGTGAGCCGAGTCATTGAAAACGTAGCTCTGTTGTACTTGTTAGCCATCTCCACCTTCTTGAGGTATGTATATGAGTCGTTTCTCACGCTGGTGGCATAAATGGGGACGGCACGGGAGTTGGTGGCAGGGTCAGGCTCCTGGCTATAGCATTCGCACTCTGGTCAGCATGGTCCTCTCTCTCAAAAGTAGATTCAACGGTAGCACATACCCCGCATGGAGCTGGAGGGTCTCGAATCTCTGCTCAGACATGATGACTGTGGTGTTGGTTGAAGTAGGAAACGGGGTATCAACGGGGTATCAGAAAAGACACAAGTAAAAGAAAAGCACCCTTCAAACACGAGGCTGAGGCTCGAGACAGGGACGGAGGTCGAAGTATGGAGGGGACAGGAACAAGGAGTTCAAGGGGCGGCGAGGACGGGAACAGGAGGCCTTTTTACATTTTTCACTTCTGGGGGTCCCCGCCTGTGACAACCCACCCACGTTCTCGGAATGATCGTCACACGTCCCAACACACAGCAACAGGCCAGGGCCCCGTTTACCTCACACCACAGCAAGGCTGGCCCAGGATGCATTTCCATTACCTGGGGCTACGAATTGGCATGTTTTTCCCGCGTGGTGACGGGCTTGTAGTTTACAGGAGTGGGTGTACTTTGCATGCCACTTTGGGAAAGGGAGGGGGTGAATGTCCAAAGCACGCAATCGCGCCATCGACTCATGGCGTGGGGCAGCAAGTCACTTTTTGGGAGCTGCGATGCGCTGTGTACGAGCCTGATCACCCAACAATGAAGACTGCTTCTTCGGTTGTCAGTCGAGGATGAGAAGGGCATCCATTCTTATTAGCATCAAGGCCCGTCATTGTATTGCTTCAAGACGTGTTTCGTTACTTGAGCTTCTACTCTCTTGCCCATCAAGGTTGTCGACGATAAGGCCGATAGTCGGAGGTTGCCCCACCATCAACCTTTTGTAAGTCGCCAAGTGTAGGTACATGCTGCAGGAGTAGGAGATTGTGACAGATGCTAGCCGAATCTCATAGACCACCGGATTGGGTTTGGAGATGGGATGAGGTGATATTCAAGTGGACTTACACGAGAGGATCAAGGCGGGGTAGCTTTCTCCAACGAGGGGTTCAGAGTTAAGCTGGCCGATCACTTGCTGCATTTCGACTGGCTGTATTTCGATTTCGAGGTACATGGCGAACAATGAATGGTGAATGTGAGACAGAACAATGCAGTGAGGCAAGCTCGCAATGGGGACCCCAAGTGACACCAGGCGCCTGCTGCTGTGGTGGCTCTGTTTCTCGATAGTAAGTCAAATGGAATCCAGACGGGATCAAAGATGGGACGGTCAAGAAGAGAATAAATAGAGGTCCGAAGTGAGGCATAACATGGCGGCTGAGAGAACCACCCAGATCTGGTAACCATGAGACTGGCACGATGTTGTAAGACGGGAAGATGGGTTCAGAAGAGCGACCCCCACATGAGTGATCCATGTCTCATCCCATCCCATCCCATCCACATGCGACGACCTCAGGTAAGAAATTAGGTAATGTATGGGGACTTTCATATATCGGAGCTAGACTTTTCCTGTCATGTGCCAACGAAGGAGCGTTTACCCATGAAGAGCATTCGAAGGCAAAGTTCATACATAACATCTTTTGTTGGTATTTTCATCAACAGCTCCCAGGATTGTCATCTTTCCCAAAAACCAGCCACCCAGAAACACTGCCCTCATAAAGCGCCAGCTCAAAAAAGAAACGTTATAAGATAAAAATGTGACCGACTCTAGCCAGCCGTCAAGGCTGGAGCAGCCAACATCGACAAGAACAGAATCTAAGCAAAAGGAAACCATCAAATCATACCTATCCAAAACCATCGCCCGCCCGAGCCATGTCCTGTTGTCCGTAATAAACCTTCCCCGCCAGGGCCGAATCCTTCTCGCATTCCAGATCCGAGCACCGAACCTCTGGTAATTCCGAGCAGCCACCACTCCCACCACCACGGAGCGCATAGAACTGTGCCGCATTCCCGCCAGCCCCTGAGAAGCCACCATCGCGAAGGAGCCACGAAAATCAACGGCCCGGTCGATCCCCTAGGAATCCTCCCGCATCCCCAGAAAACTGGCTGGTCTTTGATCAACCTGCACCGGCACGACAGCTTTTAACCTCAGTCTTTCCAACATCTTAAGCCTCCTCCTTGTTGGTAACAGGAACCTCCACCGCCGCCGGCTCCTTCCTCTTCCAACTCATCAACCCCCCCTTCTTCACCACCTCCCTCACCATAATCACCCCCGACCCAGTCCACACCAGCCACGCCGCCGCAGCAAACGCAACGTCAGCCTGCGCACTTTGGCAGACGCTCCCCCGACAAAACAGCAGTTTGCTCAGGAAAACCGCCAGCCCGACAAACCCCGCGAACCAAAAGAGCACGTTTGACAGTTCCACCCCCAAAGCGATGTAGTTACTGGCGGCCGTCTTGGGGGCGACGAAGCGAGGGATGAGAAACTCGAGAGCGAGGATGGAGAGGAGGGAGTAGAGGGAGGCGAAGAAGAGGAAGTTGATAGAGGAGGGGGAGGAGATTACTGTTGTTGTGTTGTACCAGTGGGCGACTGTGGAAAAAGGTTAGTTTCAGGGTGATAGATATAGGAGAGAGAGTTGATTTGGGAGGTAAGGAGGGGCGAGTACCGTATGATGAGAGAGCAAGGACTAGGAGAGCAAAGACGCCTTGGATGGCCCGGAGGGGGAGGATGACTGTCTTAAAGAGGGACATGGTTGTGAGTTTTGACGTTTTGATCTCGTATTCGTGATAGCTTGATTTTTATAAGATGTGAATATTTCGATTTCGGAGAATTCAAAAAACAAAAAAAAAAAAAAAAAAAAAAGCAGTTGCTGGCCTGCTTGCGTATCGAAGAGAAGGATGAATGTATCAAAGGAGTGACGAAATGAAGAGAAAGAAAATGTCTAGGATAGACTGGACAACAACACCGCAGATGTCTGATGGAAGGAAAAATGAAAAAGAATAGCAAGAGGAACCATAAGAATCAAGCAGTCTTGACTTTTGTCCAAGTCAATGAGTGAAGTGACATTATCCAAGCCGTCAACGACCCCCCTGAAACGCAAATCATCAGACATTTTCATTCATGCTAGATGGGGGGGGGGTCGTAGCTACTGGGCGCGCGAGGCCACCCAATGGTAGATGGTACCATTGTTTAAAACAAGGCTGTGAAGTAGTGTTGAAGTTGCCCTTCAAGACCGGCTAGGGGTGACTCCGTGACGGGAATATCCACCCTGATCGCTGCGTTGGTGGTGACGAAGTGGGCATGGGGGTTTTATCTGGAACATGAAACGGGATGACAGGAGACGGGCTATAAGAAGGGATGGGTCCCGCCTCTTGTTGTCTGAATTTGAGGTGTCGGTTTTTCTTGCCTTTTTTCAAGATCTGTCTTTCGAGTTTTCTCGCTCAGGTCCCCAAGAAAAATGCAATTGGATATCTCGAAAATCGCTGGACAAGCAGAGTAAGATGGCAGGTGTCTGTCGACAGTTGTTTGGCTTGCTTGAGCTTGAGATGAGAGGTGGAACTTTACACAAAAGCGACTCACACAAGCTGCTGGGTTGGTTTCCATCTCAGAAGGTCCGTCATATAGAATCTTCGGGTCATCTCCAACTGCGATGTTGAGCCCCATTATCAAGAATCAAGGAGGATGTTTCATCTGATGGCTCGATGCTCTTGGATGTCTTGGCGGTTTCGAGTTGTTCAGTTTGAACTTGATGGCTCGTGCGCGATGCCAAGACCAAAACATCAATGTGGGGCATCTGAATCGCGGGGTGAGGCTGGGCGTTTTCATGGCTCCCAAAGGCGACTAGGTTGTCCCAGCTCGCCCGAGTTCCATCCCAGCCGAGGTCGATGGCTGTCCGAGGCTTTTTGAACGTCTGCCATCCTGACGTCGACAACCGCCAGTCCCAACCGTCGGTAACTGTTCGATTTAGTTTGTTTCCGAAGGCCTGTTTCTGGATAGCAGTAACCGTCCTCCCGGCGCAACGTCCCAACGTCGTGAGCCTCTCCAAACGCTCACACGCTGTTCCTGACCCCCACCCCCGCAGTTACAAAGTCTGGAGTGGATATCGACATTGCCAGCCACGGGTGCTTTCTTTGTTGACTTCACTTGCTGGTGGGCTTTTTCAGTAAAACGAAATGTTTGCTTCTCCGCACCCCGCATTCTCAAAAGATGGGATCCCCCGCGTGTCATCTGTCTTGTCTGGGGAAATCTCCCTCTGCGCATGTGATGGCCGTACCGGGAAAGGGCCTCCGCGCATCTTCGTGGGAGGTCGTGGAATTTGTCGCTTGGCGAAGCCTTGGATGTCGGCCCCATGTTCCAATCCGGTGTCCCGTTGCCAGTTGCGGATTCCAACACCGGCCATTGCCTCCACGCCCAAAAGCATTGGGGAACAACCGCCATTCGGCGCCACAGGTCCACTGTTGTCGCTGGACCAGCCGAGGCTGACCTCTGCGACGAGGTACCCAGCCCCTAACAGAGTCGTCAACGGCCATGCTGATATTGGGCCTCCGACATAGAGTTGAAGCGTGCAGAGTTGACAGTAATGTTTAAAAGACATAGAGAAACAAGCTCAACTTTGAGGGACAGCTTTTAGCCCACGGTTTCACATCAAGGCGCATCTGCAAACCAAGACTCATGATGGCGTAGCAGGTCTCTCATATCCAGTCGCAACGCGCTGATTTGGCAGCCCGGACAACCCGGTTAGCTCCCACACCCCTGTCGCACTCGGCTCAAGACCAACTTGGACGAGACACATGCTGCCGAGCGCCGACCCTGTTGACGAAAAGGAGACCATCTCCCCGTCAGCTTGTGGCTTTTTTGGGCCGCTTCTACTCAAAACCATTCCTCCATCCTCCAAACGACCGGTGACGCCAACCTCCCCCTTAGCTGCCACTTGTGTGTTTTGACGAATTGCTGTTTCTTGTCTTTGTTCGTGCGGGTCACATCTACTAGACGCCGTTCGACCTTCCCCTCCTTCAACCACCGGTACGAATAACGACGCTCGTTTTGAGTTTCGCCGAAACACCTCGCGGCCATGGCTCCCAGCAAGCAGGACACGACGGCTTACATCAACGCCATCGCCCAACCACCCCCTCCGGGCACTCCCTACGCCCTCCCCATCCCCGGCACCGAGCGCCCCAACCGGACTCCCATCTACCGCCATTGGCGCTTCCAGAACGGCCCTCTTCTCGAGACCTTCGACCCCGCCATTCGCACCGTCCACGATCTCTTCGAAGCTTCCGTCGCGCGGGTCCCCAGAAACAGATGCTTGGGCCACAGACCCTGGAACCCTGTCTCCAAGACATGGGAGAACAAGTTTGTCTGGACGACATATACCGAGGTTGCTGAGCGCAGGAAGAACTTTGGTGCTGGCATCGTTGAGCTGCACCAGCGGGTTGGCGTCACGGCTGACAAGAAGTATGCTGTCGGTCTCTGGGCCCAGAACCGCCCCGAGTGGCAGATCACCGAGTTGGCTCTGCTCTCGCAGTCCTTGTGGCCCGTTTCGCTCTACGAGACTCTCGGACCCGAGGCGACCGAGTACATCATCAACCACAGCGAGCTGACTGCCGTCGTCTGCTCGCTCCCTCACATCCCCACTCTCCTGAAGCTTGCGCCCCGCGTGCCCAGCCTCAAGTTCATCATCTCCCTGGACCCCCTCGATGCCGGTGAGATGACCGGCCACTCCAAGCTGTCGCTCTTGAACGCTGCGGCCGCCCAGGTTGGCCTTGAGATCTTCTCCATGGAGGGCGTGGAGGCGCTGGGTGCCCGCTCCGGCCGCCCAATGCGCCCTCCCCAGCCCGAGGATGTTTTGACCATCAACTACACCTCTGGTACCACTGGTGACCCCAAGGGAGTCCTTATCACCCACGCCAACGGTGTTGCCGGTATCTCGGCTGCTCGCTCCAACCAGAGCATCACGGCTGGCGACGTCCACCTGTCTTATCTTCCTCTTGCGCATATCTATGGTCGCATGGCTGACCAGACTGCTCTCGCTGAAGGCGCCAGCATCGGTTACTTCCACGGTGACATCACCCAGCTTGTGGAGGATATCAAGCTCCTGCGCCCAACTGGTCTCATGTCGGTGCCCCGTCTCTTCAACCGCATCAACTCTGCCATCCAGGCCGCCACGGTTGAGCAGGAGGGCTTCAAGGGTGCCCTCTCGCGCCGTGTCATTGAGGCCAAGAAGGCCAGCATGAAGCTTCCTCCTGGCAAGGCCACCAACAAGCACTTCCTCTACGACAAGATCTGGACCCCCAAGGTCCTCAAGGGTGTTGGTCTCTCTCGCGCTCGCACCATGGTCAGCGGTTCCGCCCAGCTCGACCCCGACGTCCACGAGTTCCTCCGCGCCGCCTTTGGCAACAACTTCGTCCAGGGTTTCGGCATGACCGAGACCTACGCCGTCGGTACCGTCCAGATGCCCGGCGATTTCACCACCGGCAACATCGGCCCCCCGTGCCCCTCGGTCGAGCTCTGCATCGAGTCCGTCCCCGACTACGAGTACACCGTCGAGGACAAGCCCAACCCCCGCGGCGAGCTGCTCATGCGCGGTCCCATCATCTTCAAGGAGTACTACCGCAACCCCGAGGAGACGGCCAAGACGATCGAGGCCGACGGGTGGTTCCACACCGGCGACATCGTCGAGGTGGACAGCATGGGCCGCTTCAAGATCATCGACCGCAAGAAGAACGTGCTCAAGCTCGCGCAGGGCGAGTACATTTCCCCCGAGCGCATCGAGAACGTCTACCTCGGCAGCTGCAACCTCCTCGCCATGGCCTTTGTGCACGGCGAGCCCAAGGAGTCGAGCTTGGTGGCTGTGTTCGGTATCGACCCTGTGCACTTTGCTCCTTATGCCAGCAAGATCCTCAAGCAGAACATTTCTGCCGAGGACAAGGCTGCGCTCAAGGTGGCGGCGAACGACCCGAGGGTCAAGGGGGCGCTGTTGAAGCTGTTGGATAACATTGGAAAGAGCCACAAGTTCAACAGCTACGAGAAGGTGAAGAATATCTATTTGGATATTGAGCCTTTTTCGATCGAGAATGAGCTTTTGACTCCCACGTAAGTTTTTCCGAGTCACTGTATTGGATACAGTATAACTAACGAGATGAACAGCCTCAAGCTCAAGCGCCCGCAGACGGCGAGGGCTTTCCGCGCCGAGATTGACCGCATGTATGAGGAGATTGCGGCCAATGCTGGTTCCAAGCCCAAGTTGTAAGCTGTTAGGGGGGGTGGGTTGATCTAGGGGGGATGATTTACTCTGCCATATTGTGTAATACCCAGCTGTTTTTGGATATGTCGGGGAGGATGGGGGCGGGGGCGGTTGTTTATTTGAAGCGGGTTTCATATAGTGTTATTGTATACACACTTGTACTTACAGAGTAGGAGTAGGGAGGAAAAACAGGACGAAATATCTTTAATTATAGTGTATATGTGTAAAGTATGAATCGAGAGAATGCCATGAGATGAGGTACCGTCCATCGTGTGCCTGTACATCTGTTCTTGCACTTGTTCCTTTCCTAACTATCTTGGTGTAATATCTTGGTGTAGGCAAAGCGCTTTCAATCCCATGATCTACACCATGTTGGAGGCTAGGCTATGAAGACTGTCGAGCCGAGGATGGTTTTCTTCTGCAGTCAATGTGTGTGGGTTTGGACAGTTGTCTGTCGCATTTTCGTAGAGGAGCTGCAACCGAATATGGTACCAGTATTCAGATCGAAGCTCTTCGAAAAGATCACCAAACATCACCACACATCAAAACCCCATTGCTTTTTGAACAGCTTTTTATTTTGAAATCTGAAATATGTACACAACCTTACAACAAAAATGCCACAGCGACAAAAAAGAAAAAAAGAAAATAAAACTACCAGAAAATGCTCCCAAATGCCAACCCCCCCGCCCGAACCAGCAGAAGAAACATAGCAAAGAGAAAAAGAAATACCACAAATTTCACCTCTCATCCATCATCCCCCACCAGCCAGATAACATTTTTGCAATGAACAACGAAAAAATGGTATCGCATCAAAGAAAAAAAATCATGATTCCCTTTCGCTGGAGAGAAAAAACTCTGATGTCGTGTGATCGCGCTTCCCCCCCTTCTGACCCATGTGAGAGAGAGAAACCCATGCTTTCATTCCTCGTCATCATTATCGTTCCTTTCAACCGCCCCCGATTGTGTTCACTGTTGCTCAAGCAATAGCAGTAAACACCTCCTCAGCAGTCCTCTTGACAATACCACCAGTGACAGGCAAGCTGGTGTTCTTCTCAAGATACAAATCAACCTCGCGAGCAGCCTGGCGACCCTCATTGATACCCCAAACGATAAGCGACTGTCCACGACGGCAATCACCAGCCGCGAAGACACCCTCCACATTGGTGCTGTACTTCCCAGCAGGAGTCTTGACGTTCTTGCGAGCGTCCTTCTCGATCTCGTCACCCAAGACACGAGCCTCAGGTCCCAAGAAACCCATGGACAAGAGGACGAGGTCGGCAGGGAAGAACTGCTGAGAACCCTCAACCTTCTTCATGTCCCAACCACCGCTGGCAGACTTGGTCCACTCAACACGGACGGTGTTGATGCCCTTCACCTTGCCGCTGCCGTCGTCGACAAACTCCTCCGACATGATGCAGAACTCACGGGGGTCCTTGCCTGTGTGTTGAGCCACCTCAGTGTGACCGTAGTCGACACGGTAGATGCGGGGCCACTGGGGCCACGGGTTGTCGCGCGCACGCTCCGGGGGAGGCTGAGGCAGCAGCTCAAAGTTGACAACCGACTTGGCACCGTGGCGGACAGAGGTACCGATGCAGTCGTTACCGGTATCACCACCACCAATGACAACGACGTGCTTGTCCTTGGCAGATATGTAAGAACCGTCAGCCAGCTCGGAGTCAAGCAGAGACTTGGTGTTCTTGTGAAGGAACTCCATGGCGAAGTGGATGCCCTCGAGGTTGCGGCCCTTGATGGGAAGGTCACGAGCGACAGTGGCACCGGTGGCGATGATGACAGCATCATTCTCAGCCTTGAGATCCATCAGCTTGATATCGTCGCCGATGGAAACACCGGTCTTGAAGATGACACCCTCGTCGGCCATGAACTTGGTGCGTCTGTCGACGATGCGCTTGTCAAGCTTCATGTTGGGGATACCATACATGAGCAGACCACCAAGACGGTCAGCACGCTCGTAGACGGTGACAAGATGGCCAGCCTTGTTCAGCTGATCGGCGGCAGCAAGACCAGCGGGACCAGAACCAATGATGGCAACCTTCTTGCCGGTGCGGACCTCGGGAGGGTTGGGAACCATCCAGCCCTTCTCGAAACCTCTGTCAATGATGGCGCACTCGATGGACTTGATGCCAACGGGGTCTTCGTTGATGCCGAGAACGCAAGCACCCTCGCAGGGAGCAGGGCAAACACGACCAGTGAACTCGGGGAAGTTGTTGGTCATGAGGAGACGGTTGAGGGCGTCCTGCCACTGGTTCTGGAAAACAAGCTCGTTCCACTTGGGAATGATGTTGGAGATGGGGCAACCAGTATCAGACTGGCAGAAGGGGACACCGCAGTCCATGCAGCGAGCGGACTGATACTTGAGCTCGTCCTCGTCGAGTCTCTGGGAAAGCTCGGCCCAGTCCTTGACACGCGTCTTGGCGCTGCGGTACTTCTCAGAGCGGCGCTGGTACTTCATGAAGCCCTTGGTTTTGTCGAGCACAAGAGCCTTCTTCTTGTCACGGGTCTGGTCACCGAAGCTCTCTTCGATATCAGCAAGCTTCTCGGTGTGCTCCTTCTTGACCTCCTTCTTGGCCTCCTTCTTCTGCTCAACGCCAGAGATGATGGGAAGGTTGTACTCAGCACGCTTGGCCTCAGCAGCCTTAGCAGCCTCCTCGGCAAGGACGCGCTTGTAGTCAACAGGCAAGACCTTGATGAAACGGGGAAGGGCGCGGTTGAAGTCGACCAGGATGCGGGCCGCAAGCTCGGAGCCAGTGTAGTGGTGGTGATCCTCGATGAGACCGCGGAGGTAGGCAACTTCCTCGGGGTCCTCGACGGGGCCAGCCTCCACCATTTCGGTGTTGAGCTTGGTGAGGAAGTCCTGGTGGATGTCAAGGACGTAGGCGATACCACCAGACATACCGGCAGCGAAGTTGCGGCCAGTGCTGCCAAGAATGACGATGCGGCCACCAGTCATGTACTCGCAACCGTGGTCACCAACACCCTCAACGACAGCGGTGGCACCGGAGTTGCGGACGGCGAAACGCTCAGCAGCAACACCACGGAAGAAGGCAGTACCGCTGGTAGCACCATACAAGCAGACGTTGCCGATGAGAATGTTCTCCTCAGCCTTGAAGACGGCCGAGCGAGGAGGGTACACGATCAAGCGACCACCAGACAAGCCCTTGCCGACATAGTCGTTGGCATCACCCTCGAGCTCCAGGGTGATACCAGGAGCGAGGAAAGCACCGAAGGACTGACCGGCTGAGCCCTTGATGTTGACGTGGATGGTATCCATGGGGAGACCAGCCTCGCCAAATCTCTTGGAGACGTGGTAGGAGAGCGAAGTACCCATGGCACGATCGGTGTTGACAATGTCGCACTCGATGCGGGAGGGAAGACCCTTGTCAAGAGTCAACTCGGCCTCGGAGATGAGCTTGTTGTCGAGGCGGACGTAGAGGCGATGGTCCTGCTTGCGGACGTTGAAGGTGGCGACACCGGGGCGAAGCTTGTGGGCAGGCGTGAGAATGAGAGAAAGATCGATGTTAGCGGTCTTGTTGGTGCGCAGATCCTCGCGAACCTTGAGGACCTCAGCACGACCGATCATCTCGTTCACAGTGCGGAAGCCAAGCTTGGCCATGATGGCACGGAGCTCGTTGGCAACATAGTAGAAGAAGTTGATGACGTGCTCGGGAGTACCAGTGAACTTCTTGCGAAGCTCAGGATCCTGGGTGGCGATACCGACAGGGCAAGTGTTCTGACGAAAAGGTTAGCAAAACTCGGGAATTGGGGATCTCAAATCACAAACCAAATGACAATTGTGAGTAACGAGGCCATTCCCAAGCTGAAATAGGGACCCTGAGACCTGAATCGCGCGATAATCATCCTCCTCAACGTCTGTGACCGTGAAGGGGCGGGCATCGTCAGTGTAATAGGTCTTGGCCATGTTCATCCTCTTGCGAGGCATGAGGAGGTATTGCTGGAACTTAGCAGACCCCTTGCCAAGGTAGCAAATGAAGACATCGCCAGGAATATCTGACCACCCATCCCCAAACTTCTGGTTATTGATTTCTCTGTCAATGCCTGTGACAGAGATACCGCAACTCAATGCCAAGTCGCGGAGATCCTCCACGATTTTCCTATGCTCATCGGTGCGCTGCGTAAAACGGTAGGTATTGTGTGACTTCACATAGCAGCCATCAGAATCGATGAGGCCAGCGATGACAGCCAGCCGAGTAGCCTCATCCGCAGTCTTGTAGCAGTCGGGGATACCACCACTCTTGTCACCAAGGAGACCAAGGGAACGGAGGCCATCCTGGATGGGATTCCAGTGATACCCAGGCATCCCCTCCTGACTGGAGATCCTATATGTGTAAGTATTGTGGTTGGCATAGTGATTAGTCCCCGGAATAGCATCACCAGCCTTCTGCTGGAGGTGCTCGCTGACGTGGAGCGGGCGAGCCCCGGCTGGCCTGCTGGCGTTGAGCTCCGCAACATGGCTATGAAGCCAGACTTTGACCTCAAGATCGGAGCTGGAGACGATCGGGCCGCCTGTGGACCCATCACCAAGCCAGAAGCCCAGGAGCCAGGGGTCGATGGGGACGGACCTCTGGACGTTGGCCGGGTGAGAAGCAAAGGCAAGGGGGGCGCGGTAAAGCTTCAAGTGATTCTTCTTGACCTGCTTGCTGCACAGCCCCTCGTACCGAGTCACGGTCATCCTGAAGTCATCACCATCTCTGACAATATAAGGGTCAACGAGATGATGGTGTTCACTCCTCAGCAAGTCATATACCAAGCGACCTTGCTGCTCGGTAGGGAAACGACGACAGATTCTCCGGACACCACCGCATTGGCACCCATTATTCAGCCCACTTCTCAATTTGGCGAAGCGATCGAGTGTAGCTGACGGGAGTGACATGAGTGATGACTCGCCCAGGGTTGACATAGCGTCTGATGATGCAGCATCTGCTTCATGCAATACTGGCATCCTCGAAGGCTGTCCATTGCTGCCTCCAGTAAGCGCCGACTGACTACGGCTGAAGGGGCGATGCCCAAGGGGAATTGGTGGTGATGAGCCCCCATTCGAGTTGTTCCCTGCGTGTCCAAGGGACGAGTTTGGTCTAGACGTATACTGGGAAGAACCAGGACGGTAAGATCCTCCATATGTCGAGGACGGGAGCTCAATGTCACGGAACTGTTGTCCTATCTCAGGTCCGAGGTCCACCAGCTCGACATCATCTACCTCTAAATCTTCCATGGGAACGTCTGATGGTATGCTGTCCAAATATTCTTGCACAGCACTATGCAGTGCCTCTCTAACCAGGCCAGGCTCATTCTTAAGCTCCTGGTTAGCAATTTGGCGCAGAAAGTCGTCAAACTCAGGGGGGTTGTCGTCGTGGCCGGCTTCGTGAAAATGTGCTTCCACACGACTGTCGACATAGCTATGGACCTCCTCTTCAGTCGGGGTATGGTCCTGACTATCGACAAGGTCACGGTAGAGGAAATGAGCAGCCTGATCCCACCTCAGACTGCACGACTCTCTCTCAAGACCGGAACGGTCACAGCGTGTCAACCAGTAAACCTGCCAGTCGACCCTGTCCCCATTCTGGGAGCAGACAAGGGAGGGGGCAGTGCCATATGTCCGCAGGGGGAGGATATGATCAGGAGTGCACTTGAAGCTTTTCTTCTCACGAGAATCAAACTCCTTGTAGTGTATCTCCTTCATAGGGCCCCTCTGGACCTCATCCACGGCGAGGACCAGGACCGGGAGGTGGTTGTCGTCGAGGAGGGTGTCGCCGACATTGATCTCGGCAATCGTCGTGACGCCGGCGAGGGTGCGGACAGTGGTGGAGGGATGTAAACACTTTCTCATCTTCACGCGCTCAGTTAGCTTGTATTCAACAAGAAATCATCATGGGATGGTGGGCGGTGGATGAAGTGAGGCATCCAAAAGACAGTGACAGGCGTCCAAAAGACACCTGAAGGCATATTTGGATGTGAAGGAGGCCTATTTTCAATTCAAACAGGCCTTCTTCAAATCCAACCACGCCTCTCTGCATCATTCGCACGCCTGAATCCATCCGGGCCAGGTGTGAAGGGGTAACAAAAATATCAAAAAGTGATCAACTTACCATGATGCAACCCATCGCAATCAAGGGGGTGGTAGCGAAACCCCATTCCTCGGCACCAAGCAAGCAAGCAAGGGCGACATCGCGACCAGTGCGGAGCTGACCATCAGTCTGGACAACAACACGGCCACGAAGATCGTTCAAGACCAAAGTCTGATGAGTCTCGGCAAGACCCAACTCCCAAGGGAGACCGGCATACTTGATACCAGTCCAGCGCGAAGCACCGGTACCACCATCGTGACCAGAGATCAAGATGTGATCAGCCTTGGCCTTGGCCACACCAGAGGCAACAATACCAACACCAGTTTCGGACACAAGCTTCACTGACACACGCGAGCGAGGGCTCGAACACTTGAGGTCGTAAATGAGCTGCTTCAAATCCTCGATCGAGTAAATATCGTGATGAGGAGGAGGCGAGATCAAACCGACACCAGGGGTCGAGTGACGAGTGCGGGCAATGGACTTGGAGACCTTGTGGCCGGGCAGCTCACCACCCTCACCGGGCTTGGCACCCTGGGCCATCTTGATCTGAAGCTCATCAGAGTCGGCAAGGTAGGCGGACGTGACACCGAAACGGCCAGAGGCAACCTGCTTGATGGCAGAGCGCATGGTATCGCCGTTGGGCATGACCTGCGAGCGCTCAGGATCCTCACCACCTTCACCGGTGTTGGACTTGCCACCAAGTCTGTTCATGGCCACAGCGAGAGTGGAGTGAGACTCCATGGAAATAGAACCATAAGACATGGCACCAGTGCAGAAGCGGCGCACGATCTCGGTCCAGGGCTCAACCTGCTCGATGGGGATGGGAGTGGTCTCCTCAAACTTGAAGTCGAGCATGCCGCGGAGCGTGCAGGCCTTGATCTGCTCATACTCGGAGCGGGAGTAGGCCTCGTATGACTTGTCGTTCTTGGTGCGGACGGCGTCCTGGATGTTGGCAATCGACGTGGGGTCGTTGATGTGAGCTTCACCACCATCACGCCAGTGGTACTCGCCAGACTCGGGAAGGCCAGCAACACCAACAGTGTAGCGCGAGGGGAAACCACGCTCGTGGAGGCGGAAAGCGTCCTCAGCAATGAGCTCGAAAGTGATACCCTTGATGCGGGAGGCAGTGCCGCGGAAGCAGCGGTCGACAACGCTGTCGTCAACACCGAGAGCCTCGAAGATCTGAGCACCCTTGTAACTGGCGAGGGTAGAAATACCCATCTTGCTCATGACCTTCAAGATACCGCCGTCAACAGAGTGCTTGTAGTTGTGGATCAGCTGCTCGTCGGTGAGCTTCTTCTTGATGAGCTTCTCCTTGTTGAGCTTGAGGATGCACTCCATCGCAAGGTAGGGGTTGATGGCATCCACGCCGTACCCGAGAAGCACACACATATGGTGAACCTCACGAGCTTCGGCAGTCTCAACGACGAGAGCAGCCATGGAACGCCACTTGTTGGCAACAAGATGATGGTGAACCATACCAGAAGCCAACAGGGCAGAGACAGCAACGCGATCCTTGGATGTGTTGCGGTCAGTCAGGACAATGATGCGATCGCGAGCCTCGATGGCGGCAGTGGCCTCCTTGCAGATGTAGTCAAGGTGGTTGATGTAGCCCTGGACACCCTCGGTCTTGGGGAAGGTGATGTCAATGGTCTTGACGGTCCACTCGGGGTAGAGCTTGGACATGTTGTTCAAGGCATTGAACTCCTCAATGGAAAGGATGGGGCTGGGCAGGAGGAGTCTGCCGCACTGGGAAGCATCCATCTCCAAAAGGTTGCCCTGAGGTCCGACATAGCACTCTAGAGACATGACGATGGACTCTCTGATGGGATCGATAGGAGGGTTGGTGACCTGAGCGAACAGCTGACGGAAGTACTCATAGAGCAGCTTGGGGGCCTGAGACAGGCATGCAAGAGGAGCATCGTTACCCATGGAACCGAGAGCCTCCTTCTCGTCAGAGGCCATCGGAGCGAGCAGCAAGCTGACCTGTTCAAAGGTGTAGCCGAAAGCATGCAGAAGAGGGTCCTCCTGGAGCTTGAAGTCATCAGGCTTGGCGGCGAGCACAACGCTCTTGTCCTCGCCAACCTTCTCCAAGACATTGGGCATGGTAATCAGGTTCTCATCGAGCCAGGATCTGAAGTCCTGACGGGTGGAAACAGCAGCCTTGAGCTCGCTGTCATCGATAATACGACCGGCGTGAGTGTCGACGAGAAGCATGCGGCCAGGCTGCAGACGGCCCTTCTGAATGATTCTTTCGGGCTCAACGGGGATGGTACCAACTTCGGAAGCGCAGATGATGCGGTCATCATCCATCACGTAGAAGCGGCAAGGGCGAAGACCGTTACGGTCAAGGTTGGCACCGCAGAAACGACCATCGGCAAAGGTGAAGAGAGCAGGACCGTCCCAGGGCTCCATCTGGCAAGCAGCCCACTCGTAGAATGCGGCCTTCTTGGGGTCCATGGCACTGTTGCCCTGCCAGGCCTCGGGGACCATGAGCATGACGGCCTCTGGGAGAGAAAGAACACCATTGATGGTGAGGAGCTCCAACACGTTGTCAAAGGCAGCGGAATCAGAACCACCATCCTCAACGACCGGGTAGAGGTCCTCGAGCTCATCACCGAAAATGTCAGACTGCATGACACCCTCACGAGCGCGCATCCAGTTCTTGTTACCACGGAGAGTGTTGATTTCACCTGGGGTTGAAGTTAGCATGTGATGTCGGCCTTGCAAATCCAGTCTACTGCTTACCGTTGTGAGCGGCCCATCTCAGGGGCTGAGCACGGTCCCAAGATGGGAAGGTGTTGGTAGAGAAACGCGAGTGTACCAAGGCAAAGTGCGCCTCATAATCAGCATTCACCAAATCGTGGTAGTATTGGTAGACTTGTACTGGAGCCAACTGTCCCTTGTAAACAATGTTCTTGTTCGACAGAGAGCAGATGTAGAACCAGTTCTGAAGCCCGACGGTGCGGGTGGCACGCTTCCGGAGGACATAGAGTTGTCTCTCGAACAACCTGTCATCGAACTTGTCTGCGTCCGTAATCTCAGGAGCATCCCCAGAGCCATAGGCAGACTGGAGAACCACAAAGGGCTGCAGAATGGTAGGCTCGCGAGAAGCAGCAGCCGGACCAAGGAGAGTGGAGTCCACGGGAAGCTCTCGCCACCCGAGGACTCTCAAGCCCAAGGACTCGGCAATATCTTCCAACTGCCGCTTGGACTCTTGCAGGGTCTCTGGATCAGGCTTGAAGAACAGATTGCCCACAGCGTACTGTCCCAATGGAGGAAGCTTGATGCCCTCCTCACGCTCAAAGTTCTTGACAAAGAACTTGTGGGGAATGGATGTCATGACACCAGCACCATCACCATCTCGCGCATCAGATCCCACGGCACCACGATGGGTCATGTTGCATAGAAGGTTTCGCGCTGTCAAGGTTAGTTATTGATTCGACATGACCGCTGTCAGGAGAACTCACCATCGCTAACGATTTTGTGGCTAGCCTTGCCCTTGATGTGGCAAGCAAAGCCCACACCGCACGCATCTTTCTCGAGTGAGGGATCATACAACCCCCTGGAGGTAAAGTGTTAACAAAGCAAAGTATTCAGCCGAACCAAGGGGACACATACTGCTTCACCGGAAGAGCACCAGCCCACGAGTCGTTGTTTTCTGTCTGGTATTCATAGGGCTGGTAGTTGTATTGCTCAGACTCTAGGTGAGTCTGTCGATCATCAAATTCTGGGGTCAGCTTGATCTCGCCCATGCTAGGCAAGCTTCTGCTTGTCAAGACGCGAAGGAGTGTCGCTTGTCTGACGTGACCTGGCCAACGGGCGGGGTATCAAAAAGCAGCTTGATAACTGCGGATGATGGAAGGGTCTACAGGATACGAGATATGATTAGCTCCAAGACTATACGAAGTGATTCTTTGATCCAAGGTGTTAGTCAAAGACAAGATAGTGAGTGAGGTATCCTCGAAATCCGGCGCTGTGAGTGAAATCTGACAGATGGGTGGTGGGAAACTGTTTAAAGTTCGAGGGAGAGGACCAATGGTCCAGTGTGGATGTGCGGGTTACGCCAGGTCGCCGCGAGACAGGTGAAAAGCCCTGAAGGCAGTCACGGAACTCAATTGAGGGCTTTGTGGCCCAAAGCTTGAGCTGCCAGCTACGTCCCGTATCCGAACGCTGTGTGTAGCCACCAGACAGGACCATCACCCCACCCAGAGCCGGTCAACCACAGCCAGAATGCTGAATAGTTGTTATCAGAGGCAGAAGGTGGCCGACAAATGCCCAGCGTGGGATCGTCCCAAGTATTGGGGGACGGGTCTAGAATGTCTCGAGGCATCGGATATTGGCGTGGCATGATGCATGCTCCTTGATAGGCAGCTCTCCTGAGCCATAGCTCCCAAGACTTGTGATGCAATCTGGACCATCCAAAGAACGGTAGAACCCCAACCGGCGCGGGATGACGACAGGCGTGTAGCACCCAGAGGCCTTATCGTGTGTCCATGCGGCTATATTCCCGCAGCTCTGATAGGAGCACCCATCCTATCATCGATAGGCGAGAAGCGAAGCCTTTCATGACGCCTGGCTGTCCTTGCCGACATGTACCAAGCACCAAACGGCGTCGGCACGTCGTAACGCAATATGGAGGCGGGGTGGGAGGGGCGGGGGGGCCAAGACCGGGATTGGGAGTGTGAGAGCGGGGGAGGGTGTGTGTGTTCCCCCACCACTAGCACCACCACCCCCTCCATTCCGCATCCACATGCGAAATCCACCATGTCATATCCACACTTCGGAGCACAAGCAGAGACGCCCGCGTTCGCCCGTGTTCGCCCGGTGCCTGCCGCCCAAATATGAATGGCAGGCGAGGAGTTGCTTGTTTCTTGGGAGGAGGGGTTTCGGCTTCGTTGTGGGATAAATTGGATGCGCCGGAGTGGTTATCGGGGCCCCGCAGTTGGGTGGACATGCTGAGTTTCGACGTCATCCAGAGATAGAGCTTCGGAAGATCCCTTGGCGGCGCCCGAGACCTTGGTGGGCATGGAGCGGGGTGTTGATGTTTGTCGCATGCTGGCCAGATTGTCCATTGCCTTCGATCAAAGGCTGTCGTAGTTCTCACGAGGTGGCCGAGCTCTTGAGATACCTCGAAACATATCTTGTCTTTCATCACATCGTGTCTGGGGCTGGGTGTTGCGAGGGGGATGGGAAGGGTTGCCGATCCGAAGAGAACTTACCGTTAGAACTAGCTATACACTCCAAGAGAGAGTGCTGTTGCTTCACGGGTCGAGGTGGGACTCGAGGTTGAGTGGTGGTTGTTTGGAGGGGGAAGTGCGGAATCGTGAAAGAAAGAGGGAGGAGGAGGAGGAGGAGGAGAGAGAAGGTGGTCGTGGAGGGGCGGCAAGCCTGCTTTTATGAAGAGAGCTCGGAGACGGCCGATGGCAGCAAGCTATCCGTTCTGGCCAAGGATGCTGCCCAGGAGCTTTGCGTGTTGGATCTGGGGTTCTCGTTTCTCAATTGAGGCAGAACAACCGGAGCGGAGAGCAGACGTAGCCAAGACAACCTGGATACAAGGGGGAAGATGGATGGTGGAAAGTGACCCGAGTGCTAAAGGCAATGACATGTGGCTGCTGGTGTTGAAGGTGTGTTGCTGCGAAGGGTGAGTGGGGGGAGGTGGGGAGACACCTTCCACCTGGTCGCTTATTCGTGGGTGGGGTATTCATCCAGTGCACTCCATCTGCTACTAGCTACCCTACATCTGCCATCTCGGATGGTCTCCCACATGCTACAATATTGAGTGGCATTCATAGCTCACCATCTCTCTCCTCTCCTGCAGGTTGCTACGGTTTGTGTAAAAAGCGCGCACGCATTTGAAGCTGTCTGACGGTGTCACCGCATGGAAGAACTGTCCGTTGCCCTGGTCCGGTGGCTTGTCATCGTCCTATTCATGTCGAATCAGAATCACTGGACACCGGCAATGTGAAGTGTTTGATGTGAGTATTTCCGCGGTCACAGTAACTTTATACACTTGTAAAATAAATCCAGTAATACCATCCGAACAGTTTCAGGCGTAATACCTAGGAGTAGGACACATCAAGACGGGCCGACCTCCTTCTCGGCGTACTGGAGAAAGTGATGATAAAGAACACGAGCCTGAAGATTCCGGTCAGCATGTTCTCCGCTTCCGGCTGCCAAGCATAACAGATATTGATGAGAGATGATATTGCCAGCGAATCTGGGAGGTTGAGTGAAATCACTTGTGTAAAAGTGTTTTGCCATGGAAATACAGGCCTGATGCCCGGTTGGAGGCGTTGGTAGGTGTTCTTCATGAACACAGCGGGTTGTGCACCCCACACCATGGCTGCATCTTGCAGAACCAATAATGGACTAGCGCAAGATCCACTGGCATCGCCTGCATGCGAAGCATCCACAGCATGCCTCAGCATCCCACCATCCCTGTCCGGCGCCAGGGTTCAAAAAAGTTGGGCCGTCCCAGTCCCGCAACATTCTCACCAATCAGATAACACCGTTTTCAAAGACGACCGGCCGATGTCGCCAGCTCAAGCGCCAAACCCAGGACACCAGGGAAAGCGTGCGGAGGAACGTCTCTGGGGTCCCTGTCAGCCGGTATCGTTCAACATGTCCGAAAACACCAGACAGCAATCACGGCGATCCGCTTGAATAGACATGGAAGTAACAGAGAAAATCGCTGACACATGATACCAGCTAGCCAGATCAACATGGGGATCCCACCACGTGCCGCGAATAGGTAGTGTAGTGTAGGCATCTTCCTCTCACCTCATAAACTCCCACTCTGTATGTCTTCCTCGAGAATGACGACTACCTAGGGAAAGCCACACGCTCATCATCGCCCCCTACACCATGCCGGAGGTTGGACCCGTCTTGGCCCAATCTAGGGAGCTGGTCAGAAGAGCACAGAATGCTCGATTGGCGACGGATTGGCCAATGGAAGATGAATGAAAATTCATCCAAGGTCACGACTGGACGGCACTGCACTGCAACAGAAACCAAAAATGGCGAGAGAAAAAAAGGACCGCATCCCATCTGCCTGCCGCACGAGAGGGTAAACTGAGTTTCGGCACATCTGCATGCAGCTTTCTCACTGTGACCTCACCAAGTCCAACGAGTCGTGGAGAAGGCTGCTGTAAAAAGATTATCACAGAAAAGGCAGACTCTCAACCAATCACAACACACCAAGACCAGCCTCAACGTTCCTTATCTCGAACGAAGGGGTGGCCCCCGCAGCCCGATCGCCTTACGCACAGACGTCACTGGTCTTTAAGACTTGGCCGGCTCCCCCTCCTCCACCACCACCACCCCATCTCATCCAGCGAAGGCCTGGGTTTTAAGCATATAAAGTGTGGTAGCTACTCACCCTACCTTGTCATCCCGAGATCACCGATGGTCGGCCGTATCGCCGCGGGTGGAAACAGTCCCATCAGGACGGAAACTCTCGTCCACCTTCACCACACCCTCTGGCACCCGCATCATCTGAAGTTGGGAAAACGGTTTTCAGACCACGCGACAGCATCCCGCGGTGGAACGTTGCATATGTTTGGCTGTCTTCTGCTGTGTTTCCCGTCTCAGCCAGAGCCGCAGGGCCGTATTTGGGGCAGAGGGTGATCCTGGCGACCTGAGACTCTTCCCGCAACGATGAACCCAAATTCCCCTCAAGGCGGGGTAGAGAGACGCGCAGTGGAACCCTGGCTTGGGCAAGGGGATGGGAGGCAAGGCTCCACTTCGTGGGGGGCGTTGCTGGAGGGTGACTGTATGAATAGACAGCAGCCATTCATCAGCAGCATGTTTGAGAGCCAAACATCTGATCTGCGTGCTTGTTCATGCCCGGAATCGCTCCACCGGAGTTGGGAGTCATCGTGCTCTCTCCTTCTGGCTTCTGAGCTGTCGCCCGTTCCGCTGGCCGAGATCGGCGGGTTCCCGGTCTTTGATGGACCTTGCCATCCAGACCGCCCGTTCAGCTATCGCCCGAGAATACCCTTTGACAAGGCTGCAAGGCCAGCTGTATGTGCCTTATTCCCAGCAGCTTTCCGGCCAGTCATGTTTAACAAGACGTAAGAATATTCTTTTTCCCTCTGTTCAACTGGTCACGGCAAAGATTGAGCACACGACCGGCTACGCGGCTCCCTCATGTCTCCCCACGCGCAGTCTTCCCCCTTTTGCCATTGCCATTCCGAGAAATTCCGAAGGGTGAGCTCGTTAGCGTGGCAGGCGAGAATTGGCTGCATGTTCATTTACAGCGGCGCTCAGCGGGTGGCCTTCCATGCAGGTAGGGAAAGGCCCGCAAGGAGGCAATACTGAAGCATTCAGACGGAATTCAAGCTCTTGTGCAGGAGGTCAGCTTGCCATTATTACCTCACAAAAACTACGGTTTCCTGTGGGACCCTCGGGACGAAATGCCCCTGGATTTTCGTCGAGGTCCACGGGTCCGAAGGGATGGGTAATTCAAATCGAGTGATCCAGGTCGCACAATCTGATAATGATAACCCAACTTGTGTTGCCATGGTCGGGAGCTTATTTGGTAAGACGTCTTTTGTCTGCCATACCGGTTCTTGATAACTACCAGTCGGCTTCATCCACAATGACAGTTGTCTCGGCTGGTCCCGGAGAACACGGGACACAAGCTCGACTGACTCTTCAGTTCACGGCAGGTTGAGTCGGATGCTATGAGCGTGGCGGGGCTTGTCTTGTCCACCACCACCGGGCTTGGTTGCTTTCACGAGGGTTTCCACACATGAGCTTACCCCTCGGTCTTGGTGTTGAGACGGGTACCAATGCTCCGACGAGCGACAGAGAAAACCCGTTTTCGTGCCGTTTACCGTTGGCAAGGAGCTTTCCTTAGGCAGTTATGTTTTGAAATGTCTTGAAACCCGAGGCCCAGACCACAGGTGGACGGCATCCAAACAGCACCGAGGCATTACCACTCTTGGTTCTCCCGGTGGCGAACAAAGAAATAAGGGCACCTATGGAGGGGTAGTCGCCAACAACCCCTCTATACTTTTCGTCCTGAAGGATGGCTGAATCTCAGGGTTGACCTCAGGGACCCACGGGGAGTTAAAAAGCCAAGTTTCCCGGTGCGGGTGTGGACTGTGCGACCCCTGGCCCTTGGGAGCACAGACCATATCATGTCGCCGCATCGTGGGGTAAGTATCTTGTATACAGTATCAATACAGCTTGGATGGCAGAAGATGGCACTGTGGAATAAACAATTTGTCGTCATTCGTCCAGAGAGGTCGCGACTTTGAAGCGCGACAGCTCAAAGTCAACATTCATTGTCGCAACGACGAAGCTTGCAGTCACGGTTCAACAGTCACAACCAATGTTGTGATATCACTTGGGACGACTGATTTTTAAATTGATCATAGTAGAAGAGATCCCCAACTACTTCAGCTACCAACCAGAAATGAGGTGCAAAGAGTCGACGTTGCAATCAATCCATAACTGATAGCGAACTGTCCGCAACCATGTTCTCTACCTTACCCGACCTCACCCCCCGAGATGTAAGCCCCCGTTTCCTCTCCCTCCTTTGCATTCTATCACTAACCCTCTCTCCTACAACAGAGCCACTCCTCATGGTACACCTCCCCCCGCCGCGCCCACCCCCCCCAACAATCCTACCACCCCTCCACAGCCTTCACCGAATCCTCCACCACCCTCGACAACAACTCCCTAGTCCCCCCTCCCCCTCCCCCCAACTCCCGCCACAACAACAAATCATCCTCCTCCTCCACCAACTCAATCATCGACCGCTCCTTGTTAGGCCGCCTAAAAGCCGACGAGGACCTCATCCGCCGTCGCCAAGCCCACATCGCGACCCACGGCCAGCAATGGCTTAAACCCCCCGGTCTAGCCAAGACATTATTCCAGATGAGGGAAGAGAAACGTGAACAAGAGGAGCACGCCGAGGCGGTAAGAAGGGAGATGGTAGCGCAGGAGCTGGCCGAGGCGCAGGCTGCCGAGGAGGAGCAGGGTGTTGAGGAAGGTGAGGAAGAAGAGGGGATGGAGGTTGATTTGGATGGGGAGATTCCCGAGGGGATGATGGACATGGAAGAAGAGGATTTGGATGATGAAATTCTCGAGGGTGATCTTGATGATGATGATGATGATGATGATGATGACGATGATCTGGATGATGCCGTGCCAGGGGAGGATTTGGATGATGAGATACCCGAGGGAGACTTGGATGATGATATACCCGAGGGAGGGGGGTTTGGGTATGATGGTGCGAGTGATGATACGGACGAAGAGGAGGGGGATACGGAGCAGAACATCAACAACACTTTTCAAACCGCGCAGTTTGACACGTCGGGAGATGAAAGCAGTTCTGTCGACCCGAACGATGTTTCGCTTACCGAGGTGCAACAGCAGCGCCGGATGGAGAGGAGGGAGCTTCAGTCACGGGTGGCTACCGTTCGTGCGCAGGAGCAGAGGATGAGAGATCTCATGGCGCAGCAGAGCCAACCGAGACATGGGAATAACAACAGTAACGACGATGATTTGTATGGTGGGAATGACAATGACGACAACCACTACCGCGACGGAGGAGCGAATGACATGTTGGAAGAGGAAGACCTTGTTTCGTCTCGGCAGTTGGAAGGGGGGGTTGAGTCGGGGGATGATATGGACATGGAGGCTGACCTGGACGACGAGATTCCTGACGCGAGCGGGATCAGTGGGGTTAGCGGTGGTGCCGGGTTCGGGATGGACGGGGCGGGTTATGAGCATACTGACTCCGAGGCTGAGCTTAGCGATGATGGGACGCAGGGGAATGTTAGTCTTGCCAGAGGCGGGGGGAGTGTTAGACGGCAGCAGCAACAGCAGGCGAATTTCAGGAGCAGTGCTGTTGGCCCACCGCCGCAGCAGCAGCAGCAGAATTTCAGGAGTAGTGGGGGGAACTTTAGGAGCAGTGGGATGGGAAGGTTTGATCCTAGGTCGAGTCTGAATCACGATATTAGTGGGTTTTTGAGCTTGGACGGGAGTAGTATGATTGGGAGTAGTCCTCATGCTAGTTTTAGGAGGAGTCGACATGGTTAAGAAGGTTGAGTGGTGGTGGTCGAAGAGGGAGTGTGTGTGGTTTAGTTCAAGTATGATACCCATCTTGTTTGTCTTAAACTGGGAGTATGGCGTATCGTTATGGAACCGGATTCATAGGGCTTTTTTGAGTTTTGTATTACACTGATGAAAGGCATGGAAGAGGCGCGAAACTGGTTGAGGTAGTCAAGCATTGCATCCCATTTTCATTCACGCCCTGGCAGCATATCAAAAGTGAGAAAAGAATCCATGTACCAATATTAAATAAATTTGTAAACCAAAACATTACCAGGCCCGCCATTGCATGTCGAACAGAGCTTTATATAACTGGATGAAGCCAAGAAAGCAGAGTCAAACCCAAGCGCCCATGCATTTTTCACATCATTCTCCCACCCCTTTCCCTCCTTTCGTATTCACGTCCATCTTTTTTCCCTTTCCGCCCTCATCCACACTATTACTTCATATCCTTTTCCCCCACCAGCCGTCCATCCCATCAGTCTAGGTCAAACAGGCTAAAACAACCATACCCAAACAAACAAGACAATCACCGCCGCGAAAAACGCCAACCAAACCCTCCACCCAACCCCCGTCCTCTCGGCCATGACCAACATCCTGTTCATCGTCCCCCTCAGTCTCAATCTCGTGTTATCAAAGCCCTCGTTCATCTTCTCCGCCAGCGCCGAGCTCTCCCTGATCTCGTCCCCAATCGCAACCGTCATGTCCTTGAGTATCCGGACCTTGCCGAGGATGCCGTCGACCTGGGCGTCGTTTTGGGATTCGAGCTCGTTGAGGACCGCGTCTGAGTATTGGCCCCTAGTTCCAGCCGAGCACCTTAGCGATTGGAACCACGAAAAAACAAAGAAAGGTAGAGAAGGGGTGGGAAAGGAGAGGGGGAAACACACTTTCGATTTGGAGTCGCTGACCGATACCCGCCATTGCCGGAACTCCCCTCGCCGATTCCTAGTGATGAACTGCCATTGTTGCTTGTGTACCCCCCGTAGCCATACCCGCCGCCTGCTCGGCCGGGTTGGGAGTTGAAGGTTGATGGGGAGGCGGTGCGGGAGGAAGGGCCGCCGGAGTAGCCTTTGAAGAGGTCGGAGCGGGAGTCGCGTTGGTGGAGGGTTGAGGAGGGGAATCTAAGGGGGGTGTTAGTTATTGCTGGTAAGAGGGAGGTGACAATGCGGCGCGCCTCGAGGATGGGGTTGTCGTAGGGTGGGTTGCGCTGGCCATCGGGGTTCATGGCGCGGCAGCGGTTGCGTCGTCAAACTGGCAGAGTGAAGCCATCGCGGGTTCTTTGCATTCAATGACGTTGGTGTCGCTGTCAAGAACCGTCGCGCACCACCCCATCCTATTCCCTTCGATGCGCGCGCGCGCGCGCAGGCAGAAAAAAACCCAAAAACTCACCGAGAAGCCATCTTATCCTACCCCCTATCCGGTCGCCGGATAGTATTCTCTAGGTATTGTTCGTTGTATCGCAGCGCTATCTCCCAAACGACCCTCTATCCATTATTATCCTTTCCCCAAACTGTGGCGCTCTCTTGTTTTGTCGCGAGTAGGAGTTGTTCGTGTGTTGTTGTAAGGTGGAACTTTTCCCCCAGCACCTGGCCTGATCACAAGGATTTAAGGTTTAGACTACGTGGTGCTGTGTAACTACCGGGTAGGTGTTCTTTAGGACGTACGTTGCCTGCTGCGTGCGCGTGGCCTGTAAGAGTGTCCTTTGTCCACCCCAAGCTTTCCGCACGATGTGACTGGCCAGCTTTTAAAAAGAGCCTCTCCCAAAATTTATGGGGGCAAAGGGGTAAGAGTCAAAAAACCAGCGAGAAAGGAGAACTTTTTTGTTGGCCAATTGAAGTCTCGATTTATTACAGCAAGCAATCCAACCCTTAAGGGGTTGGCTACCGGCAACGGAGCAGGAAACTAGAAAGTGTGCTCCGTGTTATAGTCCGCTAATTGTTGATCTCCAATCACTTGCTCTGCAAAACCCCTATTAGCTGCAGCTTTTACTTTGCACATTGACATCTTCACTCTCAAGGTCCAACTGACGAGGCAATGCATGTGAACTCTCTTCCCCGTTGGGCTGAAAATGGATCTCACCAAACTCTGGGCATTCCCCAGTGGACCAAGCCTTACCAAAGCCAAAAATAAAATGCAGCAGGGGTAGTGCCGACGTTGACAACAGCTCCCTTCAGCAAAAAGGAGGGGAACCCGGAAACACGGCATTGTTTACGAGGATGCAGCTTGACGTTCCATGAGGGGTGAGATGCGACTCGAAGATGCGCTTTTGAATTTCATAAACCGCAAGCCACATCCAATCCATAGCCGGAGAGAGCTAGACAATTCCCAGATCGCAACCCTCTCTACAAGGGTCGCATCCTCCTGTATAGCAAGCCCCCTCTGTTCAGACCACAAAAGTCTTTTCTGTTCTTATAAATTTGTCCTCTTCTGTCCGAAACCCATTTCCCAAAACCACCCCTCCTGTGTATCAGACTAGATGAAATCGCAATGTTTTATGAAAAAACCACACAACCAAATCATCCCTCCTGTATAGGAGACTGGCGAGAAAAGAAGCCATGGGCCCGGATCTGGTGTTTCTTCCTCAACATCATTAAAGGCTCATGCTCATTTCAGTGTCGTAAATCAAAAAACGATGCCGCAAAGAAAGATCTGAAAACGTCAGAGAGAGAGAGAATGAAAGTGACGCTTTGGTGATTTTAGGCGTCCTTCATCTCCTCATCCGGAGCCTCGAAGTCGTCATCGTCCTCCTCGTCGTCGTCGCCCTCGGGAGGGTTCTCCTCGGCGGCCTTGGCGAAGTCGATGACCTTGCCGCGGGTGCGACGGCCAATGACGTTCTCGAGGTCGATCTCCTCCATGCCATCCTCCTCTGTGAGATGGTTAGTTATGCGACTCGATATGACGTAGGCATTCTTTGTTTTGATTTAGGTAAACATACCAACTTCGGCCTCCTGTAGTAAACACTGTTAGCAAGTTGCCCCTCCTCCAAAGTAATAATGCGACTCGCGAATCGCGCAAGTGTCTCGAGTCGCAGCAAAAAGAAAACATACCTCCTCGACCTCCTCCTCATCGTCATCATCATCATCGTCCTCGACCATAGAGGTATCATCAACTGGCTGCTCGGCGCTCTTGCCCTTGCCCTTGAAATCGGTCTGGGCAGCGCCAGCCTCGGCAACCGCAGTGGGGTCTGTAGCACCGTTGGAAGCCATATTTGCGATTTGTTTGTAGTGTTGTGTTAGGATTGCAAGGTAGAAAACTCGCGAGTCGGACCGTGTAGAGTTTAAGGTTTGGAGTTTGCGTGTAGTGACAACGCAGAGCGGGGGCAGAATAGAAGGAAAGTAGGGGTGGAAGTCGTGGCAGATGGAGATCTGATGGTCGCTGCCGCAGTGCACCTCTCAGCTTTATTATTGGAAAGCTTATTTGTGGGGCTGAGGTGCGGGCGAAACTGCGCTAAACTTTATCGGCTCGATCACCACTGGCAACCAGCTGACAGGGGTCCGAGAGCTGACGGCAGTAGCCACCAGCTAGCCCACTGTGTGAGGGCTCGCGCTGCGCTGCGTCGCGCAAAGGCCATCGAATGATCAACAAGTCTAGAGCGGCAGCTTGCCGCCGACCTGTGAATCGGGACGGGTGATTGTAGAGAGAGAGGAGCGACAGCTTGATCAGAGAAACCAGTCCGTGTCCATGGAAAAGAACAACAACAGCGCCTCCCTCTTGTTGAATACACAAACAGACCACCACACGCCATGACACAAGCCCCTAGAAAAAAGACAACAGAAAATGCCATAATGAATGCCAAAAACTCATGATGATATGCCCAAAACCTCTCATTTCCCATCTCCACCACCTCCCAGCAGCAAAACAGCACCCAAAAGAATCGCCCACCAGTACCTATTCTCACGTTAGCACACACCCCCATAATATCATCCATCATCGCCACCCACTTTTGAAGAAAACTCCTCTCCTCAACCTCCACCTTCCTCCCCTCAGCGCTCAGCACAACCGGCTTCCCCAACCCCGGCTGCCTCCCCCTCTCCATCCCCCTAACCACCACCCTCGGCCCAAAATTCCTCGTCTGCCCAGCATCAACCCTCACCCCCCTCACCACAACCCCAACCACCTCCTCCCCCTTCTCATCCACATTCAGTACAAAGTTCGGCTGGTACCCCTGCCCAAAGTTCTCCACCGACACCACCGCCGCCGAGGAGGCCCATCTCCCTGTTTTCTCATCATACACCCCAACTCTAACAAGCTTCGTCTCGGGGTCGAATTCGGGGGGTTCATAGCTCAGGACGGATGGAGCTGGCGCATCCTCCTCTGAGGAGGGGTTGGTGGAAGAAGAGGGGTGGTAGTTTAGTTCGGCGAGGAGGACCGGCGGGGAGGAAGACGAGATGGGTTGAATGTAGACTGGTGCTATGCGCCCGGTGGAAGGGGAGGTATAGGTAACATCGTCGTCGTATTCTTGGGCCGTGACTGCTGTTGCGAGGGCCGCGAAGGCGGAGAGTAGGTGGGATGGCTTCATGGTGGGCGGTTTGTGTTTCGGTTGTCGGTTGGAGACAAAAGCCGGCCGAGATTGGAATTGGATTGGTGATGATGCTCCAGGTCTTGGCGTCGAGCTGAGGTGCACGTCCCCCCAAGCTTTTGGGCCAGCCGTCTTGGCACTGTGCTGAGGGATTGGCAGGGGTTCATCAACATCGTCTTTTGAACAACTGAGAATAAACGATATCATCACTGTTTGGCTCAACAGTCCAAAAATACCGTCGTCCGATGTCTTCAACATCACTTTTCCGAATTCCACCACCATAGTCTGAGAAAAACTAGAGACCTGTAACCTGATCGCTGTATTCAACGCTATATGCATATAAACCTCTTCGCTTCTCGTGGTATCTTCGCAACATCTTCTCTCACGCTTCTATGTCACCAGGAGCCTATCCTAGAATTCTTATATTCTTCTTTTTTTTTCTTCTCTCTCCATCCAAAACCCGATCACCGCGCTGTTTTTTCACGTCTTTAGCGGCTTTCGCTTCCAAAATGGCCGCTATAGCTTCCCGTATACGGCGACGATCTGATTCCTCCAGCTCTTGCGCTTCTTTACAGATTGGGAAAGGCCCGGCTGCCATTATTGCGACTGCATGCCTTGGCGCACCGAGGCTAAACGGCGGGTTCTGTGGATCGTATATGCTGAGAAAATCGATCGTAATAGCCGTCCCAGTCCAGTTTGCCGTGTGACGCACGTGAATTGCTTCATTCTTTCCCCATGGCAAAGACGGCAGGAAGGGCTCGCCAAGCGTAAGCCCCTAGCGATATCTCAAAGGTGAACGCCCTTCTTCCGATTGTTTGAATCGTGGTGATTGCACGCACTGGCTCCTTGTCTCCTCGTCGTGGCCCCCATCATTATCACCATCCTCGTCGTCATCGTCCTCGTCGTCGAGCACATCGCTGTCATCGTCCTCTCCCTCGTCTTCGCCGTCGTCTTCGCCGTCGTCTTCGAGTGGAATCTCTTCTCGTTCAAGCACGTATCCTGGACACCGCTCCACAAGTCCCTTGTAGTACGACACAAGTATGTCTGGGTTGGGGACAATTTTCCAGTCCACCCTGTACAGGAACTCGAGCTCGAGCAGTTTAAGCTCGTTGACTTTTATTCCCCCGACTTTAGCGTAGGTCGAGTTGTTCCAGAAGGCGTCTGAGAGGCCCTTTGCTGCTACCGTGGCAGCCGTGATGAGGAACCGATGCACGGTCAGCGTGTTGATGGTGAATTCGGGGTAGCAGGCACATAGTCGGTCGATATAATAAACCATGGAGAGTAGAAGTGGTGGGCTGAGAGTAGCATGTCTCGCTAGGCGGTGAAGGTAATCCAAAACTGAGATGCCAGGCGCCGTACTGGAACAAGTCAGCATGGAACTCGGACATTTGCAGCAGCAGCAACATACCGTGAGTGAAATCGTGTAAGATTGCCTGACTTCAGAGCAAGCACATCGTTGGTTTCAATAAGCTCTCCAAGCATATGCGCTATCAAAACAACCATATCTTCGGTGAGGCAAAATTCATATTTTCGTGGCAGTTCTTTCGACGGCAACTGTTCTGGCCTTGCGCGCTTGCTAGAGGGTGAGGGGTTTTGTCCCGCATCTCGTGATGGCGATGCGCCTCTGCTCCCTGGCCCCTGGGAGTTTCGCCGTTTTGAGGGTGAGGCGGCTACGGCCTCGGTATGCTGGTGCTGCTGCTTCGCAACGGCCGGCGGGACGGGCTTCTTGGTCGGGTCCGGTGTCACCGCCGCTGCTGGTGCCGCTTGGGCAGCGTAGTGGTCGCCGGGAGCAGCCATGGCTCGTGACTGCGTGGTCGGCGGGGTTTGGTGTGGTTGGGCTCCTTCGGGTTTGGTATGAGATAATGGTTCCCCTGTAGCATAATTGATACGTTCCATAGGTGAATACTGGGTTGCAGCGTCGACGGCTACATAGTGTTTCGAGGGGGGGATCGCGGACGCTATTGTCGTCGAGATGGTAGTGGTAGCGGTAGTGGTCGTGGTTGAGGTCGAGGGCCCAGCTATTGGGGCAGCAGCAGAAGCGACGGCGGATGACAATGGTGAATGCGATTGTCGGCGAGACTTGGCAACAGCCTGGACCCGGGGAGAAGACTGTCTGGGCGAGGAGGCGGGAACATAGTGGCTTCCAATGTTGGGAAAGCTGCTTCTCGGGGAGGCATTGACAGAGGAGACGACCGGGGACGGTGTTAACATCATCCCAAGCTCTTTCCTCCTGCGAGCGCAGGTGTATGCGCGGTCGATGCTGTGAATGGGAATTCCTGCGGCAGGCCGATCAATGGCACGGTGGGGCTCCGTTGAACAACGTTTTTCCCCACAATCTCATAGGGCGGCTGCTGCTGGGGACGAAGTAGGCCGAACAAAAAATGGCTCTCAATGGCAAAATCGGATCTGGTGGGGATTTTCCTCGAGATATCTATTTATCGTCGTAGATATCTGTTTCCGTATCTGTATCTGTATCGGTATGTGTAGCTGGATCGCCAAGACTGCTGTTCGGATAATACGACAAAGAGATTTCCTGGGCGGCTCTATGTTTAGGTAGGTGAAGATCGCAGCCGAGTGGGAACTATACGCGGTACATTCGATATCCGAACAGGTATTTCGCTGAAACCGAGTAGGAGGAACGTAAGGAAGTCGTGTGACGGGCGGAACAGCACCAGCATCTGATATTTATGACTGCCCCTTGCCTTGTGGATGGTTGTGCAGCAGTACCTAAGCAGGCGGGCTGGGTAGCTGAGCCAAAGAGATCGTCCACACGGATCACGTTTTCATGTGAGGGTGGTCGACTTGCCGGCAGATTCAAGGCAAGGTGAGAGGCCTGGGGCAGCCCAGGACTGGCTGCGGATGGAGACCCGGGGCCCTAGAAACCAGGAAGATGGCTTGGCGTTCTGGAAAACAGAACTGACAGCAGAGTATTGCCTGGGCGGTGACAGCGAGATGTGTCAAGGCCCATGAGGAGACCGCCATGTGTTGCCCTGCTAGTGCTCTACAGATCTCACCGTGACACATGCACAGCCAGGACACTTCTATCAGAGGCGGGCAGTGCCTCATGTTCAAATCAGAGTGAGGCCGATGACTGGGAGGGCCGGAACCCAGTTGCTTGGTTGCCCTGGTTTTGGTGGAATATCTCTGCCCACGGGTTGGAAGCTTCTCTCTCGTTCGCCTATTCCCGCTGGTCTCGGCGGTTCAGTAGACTATCTTACAGCTGATCTTGAAGCCGTGAAAGTGACAGATGGTGATATCTTGGAACAGAATGGGATTTCGATGCAATGGGATCTCTTTGCCTTATCTTATCACAGCCCCCCCCATGCCATCGGCAGCCGCGAGCCAGGGAGCCAGGCCACCCCAGGGCCGGAGTGGGGTTCCTAGCTTGCTCCAATCTGCATTCAATCATCGATTGGTTACGCCTTCCAGCTGTCGAACTTCCATCGCAGCAGTTGCATTCGATGAATGATTTAACCACATCCCAAAGCACCCAGACGCACCACACGGTCCCCCTCACTCTCAAGATCTCAGCCCATCGATTACTTTTGTTCATTAGTGCCCACAGACTCGTCCTCTAGCCATTTGCTCCCCATCATTCCAATCTTTACATCTTCAATCCGCCCGCCATACAACTAATACCGTACAACTACATACTCCGACGCAAAGAACGACCACATACCTTTCCACGAATCAGTCTCTATTGGCTGGCCACCCTTTGATCAGCAGCTATCAGCAGAAACCCGAGCTCGCTATGACGATGGCCCAGGCCTCGAGCCCTCCAGTGCTCACACCGCACAAGATAACTAGAAGCTATTCAGAACAGGTTGCCGAGCTTCGAGCAATCAAGGACAAGTGTATTGGTCATCTGCAAAACAAAGAAGAATGGGTCGAGAAGGGTATACTGGGGTCTATCCTCCAGGCGCTACAAGGTAGCGCTCCGTCACACGTGCGGACAGAGGAGGACTCTGTTCGTCTGCTGTGTCTGGAGCTGCTTGCAAGTATCTCAGGTGGCAAGTATCTCTTCTCCCAAGCGGCTGCTCCTGGTGCTAACGTTCGTCAGGGGGGCCACAATTTCTTAACCCCCTTCATGCGGTCGACGTTGTCCCAACAGTCCTATCTTATATTTCTCTCGCCCACCTAAACTCGCCCCGGGTCGTTCTGACAGCCCTCCGCATCATTCGCAACATGACCGAGGCCACGAGTGCTGCTCTACCAGGTCACGATGATCTCAACAGATTGGCCGAGGCTCTATTCAGACCGGAACATCTCGAGTCATTTTATGCTATTCTTACACAACCTTCTGCCGATTCGGTCATACAAGAGCAAAAGCGCTTGGTCTTGAGTTCGATTGCCCGGTTATGTAATAAAGAGGAACATCAAAACGTTTTGGCCGACAGTGGTGTTCTGGATGCGCTCGCGACGATACTGGCCAGTTTCATTGTGGCCCGAGGCGAGGTCATACCTGGAGCGGAAATGGTTGCGGAAACAGATGGCCTAGCTGATATGATTCCAGCCCCGGCTCCCCGAGGGGCAAGTCTCGCCTTGACGTTGGAAGCAATATCGGCCATCATTTGCAACTCTAAGTTCCGTTGTTGCATGTTTGTGCTTTCTCCGGCAATCCTAGCCGTTCTCCCTTTGATCGACTTTACCCCTGCGTCAGCAGAACCAAGGGCTTCTGGTGCTGGCGGTGCCGCGGGCAAAAGCCACGGGGCCATGGACTATCTCCTTCCCCTAATGCCCGGTTCCCAGTCTAGGAGCAGTTCCCAGGTTGCCCAGCTTCCTCCCTCCAGCTTGTCGCGGAATGCTTCATCAAACAGGCGCTCTCAGACATACAAATTTACTGGCCTCGATCCCGCCAGTGAGGACTCGGATGCTGACAACCCGGAGAGTCCTGTGGTGCCCTGGCTTCTCAATCTTGTGCGGAAGACAAGTGGGCTCGAGAGGGTGGCAGCGGCTTCTGTTCTGACGTCTCTGTTCAAAGCCAACCTCACCCGCCTGGACCGAGAACAGGAACTGGCTTACCTCCTTGTGCCTATACTCTGCAATCTGATAAGGGATCATATGAAGGAAATTCCTCCGTCGATTTACACGACCACATTTATTGACAGTGATACGGAAAAGGACTGGGCCATTCTGGAGAAAACGCCGGAAGTGTTGGCGCGCTTGGTTGGGGGGAGCGAGATCTTGCAGAAGTCTGCTCATGAGTGTGGCGTAATCAAGACAACGGCCAAGCTTCTCAAGGATGCATATGAGCTCTTGGCTTCGCCGTTGATCCCGAGCCCGTGGACAGCATTTCCCCGTCAGAGTATGGTTTCGGAAGGGAGCCCTCCATCGTGCCAACTCGGACCGCCGGGGCCGGTCCCATTGTACATCCATAGGATCAGGATGAGGTACAGTGCACTGACGCTCGTGGCGGGGATGTGTTCATCGCGAGAGGATTACCGCAAGGAGCTTGCTTCTCAGGAGCTGGTTCCTTTTATTGTCGAGTCGCTTGCGGTACGACCCGGGAAGCCCCAAAATCGAAAGGGGAAGTCGGCTTCCAAGAAGGAAGGGAAAGATGGGGCTGAGAGGTTGGCTTATGGACAGAACCCCACCAGCGTGATTCTGGCGGCCTGTCATGCGTTGCGGTGTCTCGGGCGATCAGTCAGTATTCTAAGGACGACCTTTTTAGATCACGATGTCTGGCAGCCTGTTTACAAGCTCATGAAACACCCCGATTTGGAGGTGCAAATTGCAGCTTGCAGTGTTGTCATCAACCTCTTGGCAAGCTCCAGTCCCATGGTTGAGGTAAGTTTTGTCCCGAATTCTGAGTGGTTGATCACATGTACTAACACTCATCTTACTAGCCTCTTCTCCAAGCGGGTATCTCCAAGATCCTCTGCGAACAAGCACACTCTCACGAGCCAGGGCTGCGTCTCAACGCGGTCTGGGCACTCAAGCACTTGATCCTCGAAGTTGACAATAGCCGCAAGAAGCAACTCCTGGAGGAGTTGGAACCCGGGTGGCTCATCCAGCTGATCAGCGATGACACATCCGAAGAGGGTGCGCCGTACACGCGGCCGCGACGCTCCACGGATGCTGACGAAGACGAGGATATGGACGCGGAAACGACAGAGGAAGAGGAGCCTCACTTGTGGACATGGCGGGGCATGGATGGAAACCCTCGCAGGATGAACTCGCCGCGGATGCAAAAAGCGAAAGAAAAACTCGAGATGCTGCGGAAAGCGGACCTGAACCCGGCGCGGAAAGCAAGGAACGACATGATTGCGATTCAGGAGCAGGCGCTGGGTTTTATTCAAAATTTCATCATGAACCCGAACACACCGCAGGACCAGACGGAGCTGGTGGATTACTTGTTTTCGGAGCTGGGGGAGAACAGGTTGTTTGGGATTCTGGCGAACAAGCTCAAGGTACGGGTGGTGGGGGCGTTTGGCCGGAAGTATTCCAAGGGGAGGGACACGCTGGCGCTGTACCCACAGGCGAAGATCATTATGGCTATCACGTTTATCTTGGTGCACATTGCGGCAAGTATCCCCAGGCATCGACAGTTGGTGATTGCGCAGACCGAGTTGTTGAAGCTGCTGGGGGGCAGCCTCGACAACGAATCGGTGGATGTGAGGAGAGGTCTTTGTCACTTGTTTGAGAACCTGAGCGTCCTGGAGGATGATGAGGACAGGCAGCCTTGCGCGCAGAGGGCGTCGGAGCTGGCTAAGCTTGGGGTCTTGTCGAAGCTGGAGGGTTTGGAGACTAATGATGCGGATCTATATGTGAGAGAGAGGGCGAAGGCGGCGGTGGCTCAGTTCAAGACTCCAGCAATGGCTTAGGGAAAAGCGTGGAAGTTGAAAGAGCAGAGGCTAGTGAGAGACTGGACTGAGCTGGCGCATCAGAGTTTGGACCTCACGACAGAGGGGTTGAAGTTGTTGGGAGATTGGTTGTATGGAATGCGATGAAACTGGAGGAAGATGGAAAGCGTGAGTTTTTTTTGTTGTTTTGTTTTTTTGGAGTTTTTGGTTTGCTTGAAGTATGAAGTATATATATGATATGCCAAAGGGGGGTTTGGTCATGGGGAGGAGACGGGGAGAACCTTGCACACATGGAGAGGCTTGAGTAGTTTACTTGACGTGGAGGGATCATGATTACATGCCAGTAGCGAAACAATACAGCTTTTGTATGACTTATGTGCTGTGATTTGTTTATGAACATGAAGAGTCTAGATTTGCAAGCTGAGTTGCATGTGCTGAAGATATCGCCAAGAGCACGTGGGTGATCCCAGTGGTCGATTGGCCAATGGCTGGAGCTGGAGGACTTGACAGGGAAGCTATCGAGGTTGAAGAGTACTTTGAGGTTGATTGTAGATAGACATGACACAGCATCGAATTCTCACAGCAAATATTTTTCAACACGTTACATAGAGGTTTGAAGTCATACATGACTTGTGTTGCTTTGAACAGCGCCGAAAACCAGTTGATGACCTCTAAATTTCAGACCAAATTCAAACTTTTGGTAGCCTCTAACGCCCGCACCAGGGGCAACGGGTACTGTGGGGAAATGTTTCTGTGCCATCGCGGCGGGGCCTGGTTGGTTTATGACGAGACACCACTCTGCACTCTCCAAAACCGCCATCTTCATCGCAAGCTTTCTCTTTCCAACTGTATTTTTGTTTCATCATTTTCCCCGACCTTTTGTCTCTGTGGCACCAGCAGGTCTCTCCCTCTACTGTTAACACGAGACTCCACTACATCATCTTCATTGCTCCCCCAAATCAAACACGCACCCAACAAATAACACCGACGCCTCCAACGGGAGAAGGCGACAGTTCACGATGCGCTTCGGCAAAACCCTCCGCCAGTCGGTCTACCCGCCCTGGAAAGACCAATACATCGACTACGCCAAGCTGAAATCCATCCTCCGCGAGGACAAGCCCGACGACGAGGACGAGCCCTGGACCGAAGAAGACGAGAACCGCTTCTGCGACGAGATCTTCAACACCCAGCTCGAAAAAGTGGCCAAGTTTCAAGAGGCCAAGATTGAGGAGCTGCGCAACAGGACGGATGAGGCGGCGGAGAAGTTGAAGCATTTGAATGAGCAGCAACAGTCCGAGGAGGGTGGCGAGGATGATGCTGCCCAGGAAGAGGGGGAGGAGGGAAAACATGAAGAGGTGGCGGTGGATAAACAGAAACTCAAAGAGATGGAGGCAGAGCTGGATGGGATCACAAACGAGGTCAAGGAGCTGCAAAAGTATAGCAATCTGAACTATACCGGCTTCTTGAAGATTGTCAAGAAGCATGATCGCAAGAGGGGGGATCGGTACAAGATTCGGCCGATGATGCAGGTCAACTTGTCGAACCGGCCGTTCAACTCGGAGCAGGCTTACTCGCCGTTGTTGAACAAGCTGTCGTATATGTATTTTGCGATTAGACGGTTTGAGGCGCCGGATGCGGGGGATGTGCTGCCTATTGATCCGGACAGCCAGCCTGAGACGCACAATGGGGAGAAGTACACGGCGCACAAGTTTTGGGTGCACCCGGATAACTTGTTGGAGGTCAAGACGTACATCCTGAGGAGGCTGCCGGCGCTGGTGTATAGTGAGCAGTCGGCCAAGGAGGTGGATGGGCAGCAGGACCCGACGATTACGTCGTTGTATTTTGATAATGCCAAGTTCCAGCTGTATTCGAAGAAGGTGGAGAGGGAGGCGGAGGCGAGTTCGTTGAGGTTGAGGTGGTATGGGCAGTTGAGCGCGAGGCCGGAGATCTTGCTGGAGCAGAAGCTGTTGCATGAGAATGGGACGAGCGAGGAGAGGAAGTTTGCGATCAAGGAGAAGTACGTCAAGGCGTTTCTGGATGGGGAGTACAAGATGGAAAAGTCGGTTCAGAAGATGGAGAGGAAGGGGCAGAAGGCGGAGGATGTGAAAGAGTTCAAGGGGACGGCGGACGCAATTCAGGAGTTTGTGAGGGACAACAAGTTGGAGCCGTTGGTGAGGGCGAATTATGTGAGGACTGCGTTTCAGAATCCGGGGGATGATCGGGTGCGGATTTCTATTGATACGGACATTGCCTTCATCCGGGAGGACACGCTTGATCGTGACCGGCCCTGCCGCGATCCCAAGGACTGGCATCGGGCGGATATCGACAACAGCAACATGACCCACCCGTTCAAGAACATCAACCAAAGCGAGGTCTCCCGCTTCCCTTACGCGGTGTTGGAGATCAAGCTCAAGGAGGACGTCAACAACAAGCGAGGCCGTCCAGTCTGGATCCAAGACCTCATGGGCTCCCATCTTGTCCACCCCTGCCCCAGATTCTCCAAGTTTGTCCAGGGCGTCGCCTCTCTCTTTGAGGACTACGTCAACCGCCTCCCCTTCTGGCTATCAGACCTCAACACCGACATCCGCAAGGACCCCCAGCGGGCCTTCCAAGAAGAGGAAGAGCGTCGCGCCCGCAGAGCGGAAAACGAGCAAGTGGTCGGGTCATTCCTGGGGACCAAACTGTCGTCGTATAAACCCTCCCGCTCGTCCCCAGCAGCAAAATCCTACCTCGCCGACCGGATGGCGACCGACGCTGCTGCTGCCGCCGCCTCCCCAAAGTCAGGCGTTACAACCTCCAATCAACAACAGGCCGTGTCCACCCCCGCCGGCGACGAAGCCGGCGAGTCCTCCCAGTCCCAACCCCTCATCCCCCGCGAGAACCGCGAGATCAACTACGGCACCCTCTCCTCCGTCCTCCCCGGCTTTTCCCTGTCCAAGTACAGCAGAGCCAAACGCGCCCGCGAAGCGGGCATCACCTCCATGCCCCCTGGAGTGACGGAACCAAAGGAGTGGATCAAGAACTCTGGCCCGTTGCAAATCGAACCAAAAGTCTGGCTGGCAAACGAGCGGACGTTTTTGAAGTGGCAGCACATCTGTGTATTGCTGGGGGGGTTGGCGATCAGTTTGTACACTGCCTCTGCGAGCTCGAAGGGAGGGAACTTGCTGGGGGAGGTGATGGGGATGGTTTTCTTGGGTGTGGCGGCGTTTACGGGGGGTTGGAGCTGGTGGGTGTTGAGGAGGAGGAGGGAGATGATTGTGGGGAGGAGCGGGAAGGATTTTGATTTTGTGCTGGGGCCGATGGTGGTGGCGGGGGCGCTTGGGGTGGCGCTGGTGGTGAATTTTGGGATTGCGGTGAGTACACTAACTACGCTTTTGATTGAAACCGGAGGGGGGAAGGTTGTGTGCTAATTTGTGTGATGTAGTATCAACAGGCTTTTGAGAAGCATTTGGGGGGTGATGGGGGGCATCATGGGAATCGGAGTGGGGTTGATATGGGGGATTTGAGGTGAGTAAAAGAGGACCGGTATGAGTGATAGCAGGAGTCATAGTAGGAGTTTTAGGGGGAGTGAAATGGGTTATGAGAGGATAGTGTTGTTGTGTTTTGGAGAGGTGATGTTGGATGTCTGTGCGGTTCTGTTTACTTTTTTGAATCAGGGGTTCAGGGGAGAGTTTTTTTTTTGCAAATCATAGCATTGACAAGCGGTATTGTATATTGGTATGAGAGGCAGGGGCACAGCTTAGATTGTATAACAGAGAAGGGCCTCAATATCAGTTTCAACCATGTGCTTCGTGAAATGGCGTTTCTTGTGATTTCTCTTGTTCCGCCCCTTTCTATATGCTACATCATTTATCGTTACAAAGAAACCTTCCCGTATCAAACACGACCGTTCCATATGTTTTTACACTTTCAATACCCTCCCCCATTCACGCCATTTTCAACCCAGGGGTATCTTGTTTTGATATGTATGTACCTTACCTACACATGATGGTTCTACACCTTTGGTTGGTCCACCGGCGCGGCCCCCTCGCCGCCCTCTATCGATAAACTCTCCACCGCCTTCCTCAACTCCTCGTCCTGCTTCTTCCTCTGCTCCAACTGCGCGCTCACCAACCCACCGCTCTTCCTCAGCGCCTGATTCTTGGCAATAACCCTGCCAATCTTTTCCAACATCTCATCCGTCAGCACCGGCTGGCCCCTCTCCCGTCTCAGTTCCCTCAGCTTCCTGTTGTACTCCTGCACCGGCTGCAGCATCGTGTCGACGCTCTTCCTCCTGGCCTTCTTCTCGTCCTCCTGGGCCTGAATCTTGGCGATGTACTCCTCCGTGTGCCTCGTGCGGAACTTGCTGTAGCGGTTGCGGAGCTCGTCAATGACCACCTCTGGCATTGGGGGACGCAGGAGGGTGGGGATGTAGGTGCGTTCCTCGACGTCGATGCGGAGGGTGTCGATTGGGTGGTCGATGTGCTTGACGGGGGGAACGGCGGGCCAGGGGATGGTGACGTTGAGGCCGGGGACGAGGCGGGAGAAGAGGGTGCGGCGGGTGGGACGGTCGTAGGAGATGTTGACGGGTTTGAGCTCGCGGACGATGACGTCGCGGACGTGGCCGGAGTCGGGGTGGGGGAGGGGGTAGACGAGGCGGACGGCCGAGATGGGGACGGCCATGGCGATTGGTTCTACTGGGGAGGAGCCGGGTTCGCGGAGGTATTCGGGGATTTTGACGTTGGTCTGGGGAAAGGAGGGTTAGTCATATGCTGGGGAGGGGGGGGGGGGGGGTATGGTGGAGGAAGCTCACCTTGAGCTCGTCCTCCATCTCGAGGACCATGGTGTTGGTTCGGATGGTCTTGATGGGGACGATCTTGCCCTTGTAGGGGCCCTCGAGGATGACTACACGGTCTCCGGGGGCAAGGCAGAGGTTCTTGGAGCCGCCGGCCCAAGCGCAGCGGGCTTCCTTTTGGGCGGGGGTGAGCTGGGAGTGGAGGAGAGCTCTGTCGACCGAGATGGCGCCGTATGGGTTGCCGAATTCGTTGAGCTTGCCAGTGTCACGGTTGGGGGCGATGGGGCCCAACTTGAGGTCCTCGTTGCGGCGGATGATGGCCTGTCGCATGTCCTCGCCGACTTCTTCTCTGTGCCTCTTGATCTCCCTCATCCGCTCCTTCTTCTCTTGCTGGTACCGGCGCTGGGTCTTGCGCTTGATTCGTTTTGTCACCTGGCGCTCGGCCATGGCAACCCGGCGGAGGATCTTGTCCATCTCGGGCCGCAGACGGTCAATTGACCGTTGGTGTGCTGGGGAGTGGTGAGGGGAGTTGTGTTCGTCCTTTTGGTCGGCGGGGGAGGGGGGGACCGGGGCGGGCGAGTATCACATCCGTCGGGCGCACCAGCAGCGAATCTCAGAAAAGTTGACTGACCAAAGCTTCAATTCGTGCCATCAACGGTCCGTGTGTGCCCCGTGCACCCGGCGGTTGGAAATTTTTACGGCTGACCCAGAGAGGCCTGTCAGCTGGCAGCTATGAACATGGCCCAGCGACCCACTTTCTGAGATATGCTGCATCTGCATCATCGAATGCTTTTGTCATGTTATACATGGAGAATGGATCACTATGTCAAATATCAAAAGGGGTTGAACCAACAGAGATCTCCCGTGCAGCTGCGGATAAGACACCCGGACGAGTTGACATTCGACACGCTCGTGTTGTGATCCTGTATCTGCACATCAGACGCCGACCAGGCCGAATCCCAAGTATCAGGTCCAATCTGACTGCCTTCTCACGAGTTTGTAGGGCTGACAAGCAAACAAGCTGATGCTGAAATGGCTGGCAGTTCGTTCGGCTTTGTCCCGTTGTGCAGCTCCCGGGTTGCAGGCTGTAGGTATGGGCTTGGGAAGTCCTATGGCTGTCCCTAGGACTCCAGCGTTACGACCCATTATGACCCACACACTTCTCACTTGACACCGTAGGAGGGCAAAGACGGTGAGCTTTCTCCTCGGTCTTTGCAGATCTCCTTGTTGGGAGGTAGCCAACTAATGCACCCATCACATGCCTCGACTGTTAATAATGGATGTCATCAATGTTCGAGGTCACTGTTTCAGAAGCACAGATATTCCGTAATGGCAAGGCTGAGGGAGTTATGCTGTGAAAGGATAGCCCCCGTTCTTAAGCCTTGTGCAAGTGCAGGTGCTGTGCTTCTGGTTGATAGGGGCTTTTTTTTTTGGGGGGGGGGGGGGGCGGGAAACTCCCCCAATCGGTCGGGAGTAATAAAATTCAAGACATGTCCCCCGGCTGGTGCAGGACAGCCCTAAAAATGGCATCATCGCATTCGTGGTAGGCAGCCGTGGCGATATTCCCACGTTCTTGATTGTGTTGATGGAAGAGCGAGGCCCGCCGACAATCCGACCCCGTCTGCCCGTTCAAGATTGCCTGTCTTTCAGGGGCTTGGGATCTTTGCCAGCCCAGGGCAGAAGGCTGGGGCCACATCGGTGCACGTTGACGGGAGCATCTGCCAGCCAAGGACACCCGCTACCTAAGATATAGTTAGTCCATAGCTAAAAGTTCAGGACTCGGAGCCCGTGATGCTGTCGGTCCTCCGTAGGTAAAAAGCCACTACCTGTCAGTCAGCAGGAAGAATAAAATAAACAATTTAGAGCACTACAACATCACGAGAGAGGTGATTAAATAAGACCAAAAAGATAACCGGCGACCTCCACCACTGCCCTGCTGAACAGGGAAGCTGAGCCCAGACCAAGCGAACAGCACTTAAGCAAGCCCCCCCAAACTTTTTGTCCACTCAGAGGCCCCCGTTTCAGGCGCGCACCCACTCGTCCTCATCTTCCCGGCTCCCCCCAACGCACTGTTGCCGTTGCCCTTTCTCTGTCGTCAATTGAAAGCGACTTGATCTTCTGCTCTTTTCCACCTCCACCTTGCAACCTTCCATCTCTCGCACTTTTGCTGCATCAACCACCCACGAACCCGACCAACTGCACCCAGACAGAGGCTCTGACTCCGCCTCCGCTCTCTCCTTGACATACAGATACCACCGCTGTTCTTCTTTTTGTTGAACATCACCCGTCTCCCGGTCTCGCAGCTCGACACGTCTGCGACCTCCCAAACCAAGCCAAACCAAACCACTTTCCCAACTTATTAACCTAATCACACGCAACAATGGCCGCCGAGCTTCGCCGGAAGTTGGTTATCGTCGGTGACGGTGCTTGCGGAAAGACGTGCTTGTTGATGTGAGTAGCCTTCCATGATGCCCGTTCTGTCATGTCGGATTTAGTCCTTTCACCGCCGCAACCATGACCTTGGCCGCGTCGTCATCAACATCATCATCAACCCCCATCATCCATCATCTACAGTTACTGACAGGTCTCGTCGCAGTGTTTTCTCCAAGGGTACCTTCCCAGAGGTAAGATTCGAACTACTTTCACCCTCCCGTGCACGCTTCGATTGCCCATCACGCCACCCCCTGATCGCTATTGACCGCCTCTGCAACTTTGCTGCCCATACCTGGGCGTTCGATGACGATCAAGACAACCGCACCACGGCACTTGGATCGCGCTGGCACTGCCCTTCAACTATCAATTACTAACAAAACCTGCAGGTCTATGTCCCTACCGTCTTCGAAAACTACGTTGCCGATGTCGAGGTTGATGGAAAGCACGTCGAGCTCGCCCTTTGGGATACGGCTGGCCAAGAGGATTACGACCGTCTCCGCCCTCTCTCTTACCCCGACTCCCACGTCATCTTGATCTGCTTCGCCATCGACTCGCCCGATTCCCTCGACAACGTTGGCGAGAAGGTAAGTTTATGCTTATCCTACCATATTACGCTTGGACGTTACTGATGTAATTCTCTCGATAGTGGTGCTCCGAGGTACACCATTTCTGTCCCGATGTTCCCAAGATCCTTGTTGGTTGCAAGAAGGATCTCCGTTTCGACCAGAAGACCATCGAGGAGCTCCGCAAGACCAGCCAGCAGCCCGTGTCTCCTGAACAGGTATGTTTTTGCAAGGATCGTCCCCCACGACAACAACAAAAGCTGACAAATATGTGCAGGGTCAACAAGTTGCCACCAACATCAAGGCCACCAAGTATCTCGAGTGCTCCGCCAAGACCAACGAGGGCGTCCGGGAAGTGTTCGAGTTCGCGACGCGGGCCGCGTTGATGAAGAAGTCATCAAAGAAGAAGGGCAAGTGCGTCATCGCCTAAGCGCAACCATGTGCTCTGCAGATATACCCCTAGCAATCTGTCGACCTTTGCCGCACCAGGCCTCTATACCCAACGCCCTCGCACCCAGTAATGCATCACAGTGGGGACATTCCCTCTCGGAGAGGCAGAAACAGCTCACCCGACATTCTTGGAATATCACCACCCGCCGTCGACCGTGGGGAGGATAGGATGGGATTTATGCTCCAGGAGGGCTACGCGGAAACGTGCGCAGGGACTGGGAGGGAAACACGTTTTTGGCCCATGAGGCGGGAGAGGAGTGACAGAACGCAAAGCAATATTTTGAAGCGTCTGCCTCATAGCAACTATTGTGTCGGTTTGGAGATGGGCCGAGTACACGCACCTATTTGGGCAGAGGCTTTGCCGTAATCCACACCACCTCCTTCCTCTCTGTCTGACTCTCTGTCCCCCCTTTTCATCTTTTCCGATAACTCTCTACGTATTGTACCTCTCTGTTCTCACTTTTTTCTAGCTAGCTATTTAGTCAATGTGGTTTTTTTTTTCTCTTTTCTGGACTTGGACCGGGCCTTTGTCGTTTGTTGTGGGTTGTGCCACCTGCTTGCTTGTAAAGTCTTTGGGTTGTGCGGTCTGGACTTTCACTGGTCGGTAGGCTAGATCATCATCATTGAATACACAGTTTCTCTCTCTTTTTACTCTGCTGGTTACGTCATTTGTTGCGAAAGATTGTTGACCATGTTATCCACGTAATGTTGTTTGACGTACGAGATGCGAGCGAGATGGGTGTGAACAATAAAAAGGGGGGGCTGTGTTTTGACTCCACTCGGCCTCTCAGGTTGTCCCTTGCGAATGCTCAGCAGGTGAGGAGTGGCTGTGCTGATTTGCTGTGGTAATTGCTGAATTAAGGAAAGGTGGATATGTTGGGGGGGGGGTGGTTCATCTTATAATCTTGGGTTGAATAGTTTACAGTTTTGTGAAATGAGAAGAAGGCTTGATTTAGGAGGCCAATACGAACGAGGATGGTTTAAACTCATTTTTTTGGCTTTTTTAAGCTATAGGTTCAACGTCGTGGATGTATTATTATCTTGTTGGAGATGAGCTTTGCTTGAAGATAGGTGTTGTTTTCGTCTAAATCAAAGACACGGCTCAGGATTTGAAAACAGAACAATTCTTTATTTTGGTTTTTTCTGAAAATATTGGTATCATCATCGTCAACTCATCATGGAAACAAAATAAAATACCAAAAAACAGCGAGAAAAAAGAAGTGGAAATCAAGAACTAGTTTCTCCGTCGTCCACCACCCTTCCTCTTATTCTCCTCGTGAATTGACTTTCGAACATTGGCTAGGTAGACGTAACTCCCTGCTTGACGGCCTATGAACCCGGTAAAGCCCTTTTGTTGGCGGTGTCTTTTCCGTTGTTCTTGTTGGCGATGTGGACGGGTGAGATTGTGGAGGGAGGGTTGGCCGTCTAGTTGAGACAGAAGGAACCGATGCCGTTGGGAGTTGGTGGGGGAGGGTGAACGACGGGAAGGGGAAGTCTGCTAGTTGGGGCAGGTCTGTATTAGAAAGGGTGTGGATGTCAGCGAGGAGGGTTATGATAAGTGAGCGGGGAAGACTTACAGCTCCGCAGCTGCCGCAGGACTTGCCCTCTGAGGCGGCACCGCACTTGGGGCAGCTTCCGTCGTGCATGGTTACTTGAAGTGTTTGCGGGTTGTTGGTTGTTTGGTTTGAGTGAAAAGTTGAGAGTGTAAGTTGAAGTTCACGATAGTGGAAGGGGTGAGAGTTTGAGGAGGGGTAGATAGGTAGGTGGGCAAGAATGGGGGACTAAAAGAGCGGGGTATATATATGCTGAACACACCACCCACCATCAACCGCACTTATTAACAGATGGAAGGAGGGAACCACATGATCCATCACTTGTTACACACATGGACCATTTGGGGGCTAACTAATCCGCGGACAAGCTTGTCACCTATCTCCATGGGTAACCGCGTTAAGCACGGCAGATGTTGGACCCTTTTCTCTTCCTAAAACGGTGGTGCATAACGCTACCTACCTTAGTTTGCCTATCATGAGGGAGGAGCGTCAAGTCACAAGGTTGGGATTTGCAATCGGATCTCCACTAGTAGAGGCAAGTTTGGAGGATGACCGGGACTTGAACTTCAAAGTCATAACTTAACAACACAAACAAACCCGGGTTGAGGGGCGGGGAATTCTGCTTGACGTGCTATGAAGCATTTACTGTAAGAGCAATAAGAAACCATATGCTAACCAAACAACCAAAGAAACAAAGCCTCTGGAACCGGGCAAAGTCTGCCCGTGAGACCTGCCATATCAGTGTTTCTTCCTCTAGCTAGGCCACGAGCTGCAAGTCTCGCCCCGTTTTCATCCCCAGTTTCCCCACGCCAAGCACACAATATATAGTACGTACATCCTGTATACCACCCACCCTCCTCCATTCGTTTATATCTCTCGCACTGGAACTTCAAAAGAGCGGCGGGCAACCAACCGAACGGATCGCTCGGGATAGGGAAAGCGAGCTCGTGTGTGAGGCGGGTAGTGCCACTTACACGTATGTTGGATGGACTCGAACCAACACTTGTCAGCCACACACTCATGAGTTACAAGACAAGATATGCTCAAGATCGGTCAAAACATGACACCTCATGTCTGATTTCAATCGCACAGTCCAAACTTATGACCCCGCTCTCCTGCTCAAACCTAGGTAAACCAATGATGCTCCCCTTGAAAACCACAAACTCCAACGTCTCAACGCCCATCCAACGCCAATCTAATCACCTCCAGAGGCTACAGAGCTCTTGACCAGACAGTAAACCACAAAAGCCAGTCTCTATATGTACACAAAGCCGTTTTATACACAACCAAACACTCTGTTGGGTTTCCCCAGTTGGCCCAGCAAGGCATCTGTTGACAAAAAATATAATTATCCACTCCCCCCCCTCCCATGGTATCAAAATTGTGCCTTTTGTAACCTTTGCCATGATTAATAACACTGCTTCGTCTCTCCCTCCCCTATTTCATGTTAGCATCGGAAACAAATAGTCAAAAGGAAACAAGAACATACCACTAATCATCTTCCCCAACGCCTGCACCATACTCATCCCCATCACCACCCCTCCAAACCCCACCACCCCCCAGGCCACCCACGTCCTCCAGCTCTTCTTCGTCAGCCTAATATAACACAACGGCGGCAAAATATACGCCATCGCCGCCGCGCTCGTCCCCCCCACAAGATCAAACACCGTTCCCAAGTCACAAGTCAACAGGCTCAGCGTCATGGCGCTGAAAACCAAGCTTGACGTAAATATTAAGTGAAGGGCGAGGTTGAACGGATCTCCCGGGAAGTAGTAGTTGAGCATCACCTCCCTGCAGACGAACGCTTCAAGAGGAAGAGTGGTGAGCATGTTGAGGCCGAAGCACAACCTCGCGATGTTGACCATGGTGTTGTCCGCGGGGAAATTGTTGAGGACGTTGCCCTGGGTCTTGTCCCCAAACGTCAAAAACCCTGCGAGGGCCATGAGGAGGCAGGCAAACATGCTGATTGCCGTGCTGTAGTGCGTCACCTTGGAGAACCTATCGATGGTCGGTTTTTCGAGGGAGCCGTAGATGAGCAACGAGTTGTGATGGCAAACAAATGCTTTTCCCACTGTCAGCACATGATATCTTCCCTCCCCTCTCACAACCAGAAATACATACCAAAACTGATAACCCCAATCGCACTCCAAATCCCATCCCCCAGCACCCACCCCTCCCACCCCTTCACCTCCCCCCTCTCCTCCACCTCCACAAACCCGACCTGCACCACCACCGTCAGAACAATAACCCCCATGCTCACCAGCGCAAACGTGCTCGCCTTTGCCAGCTTGGCAATGTCCCTATACAACGCCAACGGCCAGCTCACCCCCAGCGTAAAAACCACAATCACCACCCTCCTATCCACCAGCCAGCTCCCTATTCTTCCTCCAGCCAAATCCGGCCATATCGCCTTCATAACATTCGGTATCGAATCCCCCACAATAACCCCAAACGCCACCATCCCCCCAAACGCAAACGCCCACTGCGCCACGCTGATGGCGATCAACCCCGGCTTGCCAAAACACTTCTCTACCGTGCCCTGAAACGACGACGCCCCCGAGAGCTTGGAGTTGATGACGATGAGGCAGATCGTCCAGTCCACCACCACGGTGAGGACCACGAGGAGCAACGTGCCAGACAGGAGACCGGCTGACTTGAAGGCGTACGGTTGGCCAATGATGCCCGCGCCGATGATGCTGTTGGCCATGTTCATGAACGCTGACGACAGGTTTGATTTGGGGCGGGATGCTTCCGAGGCGTGCCAGTCTTCTGCGTCGGCGTGGTCGCCGAATAGGGAGCGGTCGGATGCGACGGCTATGGAGGGGGCGGTGATATCTGATAGCAGAGGGACGCGCTGGCGGCCTCGGCGGGCGGTGGAAGAGGAGGATAGGTAATCATCGTCGTCGAGGTTGAAGGTGTCTGATTCGGAGTAGTCGAAGGACGCTCTGGCGTGGTGGTGGGTGTCCTCGTTTGTGGGGGTGGGTTTGGGAGGGACGGCGGGGAATTGCCTGGCTTCCTCTGGGACGAACGTGGGTGTGAGGTCGAAGCGGACTCGGTTTGGTGTGCGTGGTGTTCGTGGGCCGGGCGGGTGGATAGATAGCCCGCCTGGGGGTCGTTCGCGGGAGGAGGATTTGCTCGAGGAGGTGCTGTTGCTGTGGACGGGGGAGGGGCGTCGTTGTGGTTCTTGGGAGGCGTCGTGGGAGGAGAGGAGACCGATGTTCTCTTCTTGGGCTGGGGCCCTTTCTCCTTCGGGGATGTCCCTTCGTATTCTCGACATGATTTCAGTGTTCTGTATGCCCTATCCTCCTCTCCTATCCCTTCCGAGCTCGCAGCTGTCCCTCTTTCTGCTCGTGTGTAGGCGCAATTCGAAAGTCGCAATAAGTCGGCCGGTATAAGTCAGGGGCTCGGTTTGTCAAGATGCAGTGTACGTCACCGCTAGTCTTCTTCTCGTTCGTCGTTCACGGGGAAGTACACACAAATTCGCAATCTTCCACTCCAGCTACTCGTCAAGTCGCTATTGTTGTTTATTCAACTTTTGCTTTCCCCCCCCCCTTTCTCGCGATTCAAGCCACAACGGTTCGTTATAAGAGCGAGCACGGCTCGGCCGCCGGGATCCGGTTCGTTATTGGGAAACGTGTACAAACTGGTCGCATGAAACAAAGAAAACTAAAGCTTATTTCTGCATCCGCAAACCAATAGTAAAAAAAAAAAAGAGCTGGCGCAAGTGTTGATTATGTATCTCAGTTCAAAAAAAGAAGATATAGAAAAACGAGTGTCATGAATTGGAAATTTCCCAAGAAACCAAATGTCTCGCCAGTTACAGAATGCCAGGTCAGTTAGACCCCTGTCAGGTGATGCTGCGTTGCGCTACACACGGCACCTTGCGGAGCTAGCTGGCTTCCTCACAGGCTCTCACTCAGCCCCTGAACGGGGACCGCTTCGCAGGATGCGGCTGCTGCGCGTCCCGAAAGAGTGGACTTGTTGCCCGGTCTTCTGGAACACTGAAACACTCCGACCGACCCGACGATATCCGCTGTGGTTTCATTCTCACAAGTCCCAAGCTCACTGAGGTGATGTTAAAGAAGCATATTATTACTTATTTCTCTAGCGCTACCAAAATGGCGGGACCTAACTCAAAAATGCCCCTTTTATAACCGATCATAAAGATCGTCGAGTGAACATCCTCAGCCGAGGAGTCGAGACAGGAGGTGACAACGTCCACGCTCCTCTTCACGGGGTAGGAATCAAATCACAATCTACCCAAGCACGACTCGGCTCCTCTCCGCCGGGCCACTCCCTTCCAAAATAAAAAGTGCCAGTTGAATCGAATTCAAGAGGCGACTCGTTGAGTCTTGTTTGGGTTCAACCAACGACTGCCCTATTCCAGACAGCCGGTCTGTGGTTTCCCCCATGTCTTGTGCTGCGATTCGAGCACATCACTCTTCTCCAAAAACACACTTGAATGTTGTTACAATGTTCCTTCACACCGCCATCATGGCCCAAGCGACCAGAGCCCAGGCCAAGGTAAACGCGACACCTCCTACTTTGCTGCCACCAGAGACCGTCTTTGGGGTCACCGTCTCAGCACTTGTCTCGCCAGTTGCGCTCCCGGTAGATCCAGGTACGACAGGCCGACCATCTTCGCCAGTCGCCACAGCACCTGTGTTGCCCGTGCTCGTCGGCTTGGGCGGGGCTGCCTTGTTTGCAAAGCCTATTCGCATGTTGCCGTTGTCGGCGTCGAACACAGAATAGACATTCTTGAGGAAAACATCCCCCATAATCCATTCGCCAGGCCGAAAACTAGGTAGTTCGATATAGCCATAGATACGGCTGAGACACTTGTCATCTTCGACTTGGGCCACCCAGTCCTTGGCTGGAATCTCATATGCGACACCTCCAAAAGTAACTTTGAAGGCCGTTTTGGTATCGCAGGGGACGATATACTCGGTGTAGGCCGGCTTCTCATCCAGTTTGGCCCCGGGAACGAGCTTGAAGAGCTCCGCGACGTCGGGCGGCGACCCAAAGATGTATGTTGTTCCGGTGTCGATGATGGCTTTTGTAGAGTTGAGTTTGGCCTGTTTTCCGTCGAACGCAAAACCCTCGATGGGAATGACCCACTCGCCCTTCGCCTTGTGCTCCGTCGTGACGTCGGCGTACTTGATCTCGCCGACATGCTTGGCCGGGTCAATGCCGCCGAAAGTGGCCTGGCCGTCGTTCACGCCGTCCGAATCTCTGTTCATGCTGATGGCAACGATCGGCTTGAGGGCGTTCTGTTGCCTGACCTCCTTGAAAAAACTCCCAGTGACAGAGTGGCCCATCCCCAGACCCAGAATGCCATCAAAGGCATAATGTCGCAGTTCTTCTGCAGTATGGTTGGCCACACCAAATTGAACATTGACAGTCTTCCCCGCCAGCACCATGTTATCCCATCCCACAACACCTGTGACATTACCTGTGCCATAGTTGATGAAGAAGTCATCAGCTTGATTGGGCTTCCAAGACGTTGATGCTGCCGTGTCGAATCTATCGTGAAGGCGGCAGGCATATTCCGTGCAGTCGGTTCCCATGACCCAAGTGTTGCCCGCACCGGTGTCCAAAAGCATATACAATGGCGTCTTCTGGGAGCCGAGCTCGACCCTGATAAAGTAAGAAAAGTCGGGCCCGTATTGATAGATGCCGGTGCTGCCCTCTGATATCGGCTTGATGGGGTGGGAAATAGGGTACTGGTTCCCTGGCACATAGTTCTTGTCGTCTTTCTGACTTCGGGCACGCACTGCAGGCGGTCCTCCGAACTTCTGGGCGACACGGGCAATAGCCACTGCTACACGGTCAAAAGGTTCAGACTCATCGTCAAGCTAGAAACACGGTCAATATCATGTCCGGTGGGCAATCAAGGCGACAGCTCAGGAGCGACATACAACTTGTCTTGGCCTTGCAACCAAAGGGAACGTGACCACCTCGCCGCCATTGGACCTCGCCGAGTGGCCGCCATGCTTCCGCGTCGTCTTGGTGAAAGGACCACAATGGCCGGTAGGATCGCATTGGTCGTCGGGAATGAACACAACAAAGGCGTTGGCAGCGGCAACCCAAAGTGCGAGCTTTGTAAGAAAAGACGTCGGCCTCAACATATTGAGAGATGATCCCCAAAATCCTCACCACACTCCCTCACCAACCTTTGCGGGACGTGGTCTCTCTCTGCCAACGGCTTTCCAAAAACTGATGTCGAAAAAACTTGGGCAGCCTCGATATCGGTGACAGATGACTGGCAACGGTCAAATGATCATTTGAGAGCGCCAGATCCGTCTTGCCGAGAGGGGAGGGTATTAAGAGGCGATTAACGATTAATTGGACAACATTGGAATTGTCGTCTAATGGTTCCTGCGGCCGAGAGTTGATGGAGACAGACGTAAACCGGACTTTTGTGATGGGGAAAAAGCAAACACCCAAAAATGACTATTCGCAGGCTATGCAAAAACGTTGAAGCTGAAAAATGACTTTGATAGGAAACTTGCTTGCTGGAAGATGCAAAACTATGCGGAAAGATCGGAAGAATGGGAAACGCGATGATGGGGCAATGGGCGAGATACACGAGAGACAGGAAGCCGATATTGAAACAAGCTCTTTGGAGGTATAAAGGAAGACCCCTCGAGCAATGATGGACACACCCCGAACAAACAGAAAGGAGATGTCGGATGGTGGAGAGAAAAAAAAAGAAGAGGAGGGTGGCGAGCGTGGGAATAAGAACAAGACATGGAAGGGAACGAGGCCAGATGCATTGTGGATGGAGCAGTCGGCCGCAACCACCCCTGCCTGCTCCTCTTTGGGGGGGCTTGCTGAGGGGGGGCGGACCCATGATGGTGTGCAGGAGACCAGGAGCAGTTCTGGGCTTCTTCCTGGCTCGATGTTAATTGTTGGCGATTGACATGGCTGTCAACCATTACCACCATAATATCCGCAGGTACCTGGGTAGCGAGAGATGATGGATGAGAGATATCTGCAACGTTGAGGGGAATGCTTCCCGATTGAGCTGGTTACCTGGCTATCTCTTGTATACTCATGGATGTCTTGAAATTGTCAGTTGCGGCTGCCCGCATTTTGCCCTGGAAGCCCTGGCTCTCGCTGGATGGGAAAGCGGAGTGTTTTCCTACGCTTACAACCCTCAAATACCGTTGAATACCGCCGTCTGCAACGCCAATTGAGCAAATGACCATTGCCTTTGGGGTCGTGGTGAAGCTCTTGGGAGCTTCTTGGAAAAATGTCTTGGTGTCTCTTCTCATCTCAAAAAAGCGACGATCTGCTCGAGAGTGGAGCCGCCCCTGTCCATGTCCAAATCATCTAGCCGCTGTCTGATTGGCGGCGGTCTCGAACAAGCTCTGCAGCGCTGCTCGGCGTCTGTGTGCCGCTTGTTTTCGAGGCTCCACCCAATTTGTCCCCCAGCTTTCCCGGTCTCTGCAAAAGACCCCGAAGCCGTCCGGACTGCCATTTGATTTCTTGACATCCCTTCCCGTCTGCAGTTCAGACAGTCAACATCTACCTCACTGTGTTCATGTCCTCTCCTGAGAATACGAGCTCCCACAGCAACCAACATAAGCCAGCACTTCTCTTTCTGGAAATTTCATTTTCAAGGATGCAATATTAGGAGGGTGGCAGTCGTGGGAAACGAATCTGACAAGGGGGAGCCGCCGGCCTGTGCGCCCCAGATAACGTCCTGAACCTGGATCCCTGCGTGGCGTCGGCCAAGATATCCACCAAGCAGCCAGCCTCGAACGAGCCAATCGGTCACACTCTTCTGCGCCTGTGTGAAGCATCACCACCACAACAGACTGATCCAGAGCCTCAGCTTGTCCTCTCCCATCCGGCCAGCTGAACAACAAGGCGGCTATCAATGTCTTGCTTTTGGCTGTTTGGCATCATGGCTTTTGACAACAACAAACAGTTTCATGTTTGACCATCGCGCTTGGCACGAGTCTGCGTAGGTGAAGGTCCCCTACCTAGATCAGCAGAGCCCCCTTCCTCGGTGGAGAATGGTAATTTCTAACAAATACCCATCATGACCTCATGGGCATGGTGTGTGATTACCCCACGAAAACGCCCAAGCTCGTCGTTAGGTAAGAGGGGAATGGTACATTGAAGCTGTCAGTTTCATTCACCTCTCTTTTGACAACGGTTGGACTCCCGGTTCGTATCAGGCTGAAGAAGTCGATATGCCTTCAGCTGGTCTGACGTGTCAGTTTACCTGATATCCCGCTGAGGGTCTCTCTGTATGAATAAGAAGTTTGGACCATCTTACCAGTCTATGGTATGGAGAGTTCTTTCCGCTCGTCTCCGGTTTTCTCGAAGCCGATCCGTTTGATAGTCATAGAGATCTGCCCGTTGGTGGAAATTCTCCTGTCTTCCACACCTGGACACGCGGACAGCAACGTCACCTCAACTCCCATCCTAAAACAATGGCTTTTTCCATCCGTAACGTAACTGTCTCATCAGCCGCGTACTCTGTCTGCTGATGGACTCCGATATGTCTCACACCACTCCACCGCCCTCCTCAACACCGCCTTGTCTGCCACCGCCGTCGTCTCCATCTCCAGCAGCTCCTTTTGAATCTCCAAAAACCTGGAATAAGCCTCCTCCGTCATGACACCCGCCGCTGCCAAAGTCGGCAAAAACACCCAGACAGACTCGTTTGACAACCGGAGAGATTCGACCAGATCCAACACCTTGGCTATCACCCCCGGTGCGTCCTTGTCACGGCCGAGGAGAAAAGACAGGAATGACCACCCTGATATGTCGGTGTGATTCTGAGCGCACCAAGTCTGGACTATTTCCAACAGCTTCCCACGGTTGAAGTTGTTGTTGCTGATGTTGACCAAAAACCTGGCGTGACACCAAGCGTAGTAGTTCCGGGGATGTCTCTCCCCAGCCACGCAGACAATCCTCTCGATATCACCCGTGACTTCAACTGACAGACCATACTTTGCGTACTGGGTGATGAGCCACCGCCGATGACTCCATAACACGGGGGATTTGGTGTGTCGGTGTAGTCTGCTTGTGAGGAGACTGTCTACCGTCCTCTTTTCTTGTTCCAACACCGTTCTATGGTCAGAGTTTTGCCTTTGCAATTCTGACTGGAGAAGTCGTTTTCTGGTGTTGGCTGCTGTGAGGTGCTCGGGGTCGAAGAGGAGGATGGTGAATGTGGCGGAGGATATGTCGTCTGAGCTGAAGAGGGAGGGGTCGGTTTGGTAGGCTCTGAGACGGGTTCGGGCGAAGAGGAAGGATTGGACTAGGGCGAGTTTGGAGATGGCGATGAAGTTGTTGTCTTTGAGGATGGTTTGGCCGGGGGGGAAGTGGAACTCTTTGAGGATTTCGATTTCGAGGAGGGCGGTGGATGGGGAGGAGGGGAGGGTGAGGGTTTGCGTTAGTTCTTCGTATACTTGTTGTAGGTTGACGGAGTTGAGGTTTGCGGCTATTTTTGGGTCTATGGCTCGGGACATTTTGAGCGGCTGTATTTGGGTTGCTGGTAAGAGCTTCAGGGATAGATTGAGTGTGAGATAGTCAGGTTGAGTGTGAGATGAGACTGGTGAGTTCAGGCTTGGCTTAAGGCTGCCTCGAGAGAAGGATGATATGTGAAAGAGGCGGGCAAAATAATCCAGCTGTACAGTAAGTGGTGTTTCTGAGCCTGAGTCCCATAAACTCCCCTTTCAAGACTGGATGTTAAAGATAGTAGGTGATTGGCCCAAGGTGAAGCCATCAAGCCCCCAAGCTGACCTTGTGAAAGCTACCTACTCCAACCCTAACCCTCTGCTAAACGCCACGCCACGTATCCCGCCTGTGGGTCTGAGCTGGCAGAGAGAGCTCCGTCATTGTCACGTTGATTTCTCTTCCCAAGGCTGACAGTCGAACCCCCCAACAAACAAAACATACTACGGACATGACCGCAACTTTAGACCGCTAGTTGTAAACCGACCAGCGCGCTCATACTCCCCAAAGATGCCATCTCTACTACTCATCATATTCGTCACCGAGCTGGTTGTCCAACTGGTCAACACCCTCGGCGCAACCACCATCAACGATTTGGTACGCTGGCCTTCTCTCTGCGATGCCCCCCCCCACCATGCCATGGCCGCCCTCGGCAAACGATCATATGCTGACAAGAAAAACCCATTGATAGCTATGGAGGATATACCTTACCCTGCCGACACCGCTCTCGTTAGAGTTTGCACAACAGCGCAGGAAGCAAAAAGAATACCTCGCCGTTCGACATGAGCTGAAGGCGACGAGCAGTCAAGACGAGTTTGCCAAGTGGGCGAAACTCAGGCGCCAGCATGACAAGCTGTTGGAGGATCTTGAGAAGAAGAGTAGGCGATCACTACATATGGGTTGGAAGGGACGCAGTTGCTAACTTCTTCGTTTCTACAGAGGCTTCGCTCGAGGCAGCCCGCACCAAGTTCGATCGAACCCTCACGACCACCCGCACGGTCTCGACCCGCAGCGTACAGTGGTTCCTCCCCTTCTGGTACAGCAAGGAGCCCATGTTCTGGCTCCCCTACGGCTGGTTCCCCTACTACGTCGAATGGTTCGCCTCTTTCCCCCGTGCGCCAATGGGTAGCGTCAGCATTGTGGTTTGGCAATGGGCTTGCACCGCCGTGATCGCTCTGATGATTGAGGCGGCCACAGCAGCTTTGGTGTATGTTGCTGCGAAGCAGTCACAAAAGATCAGGCAGCCTGTGCCAGCGCAGTCGGAAAAGAAAGATTCATGAATGGGACATATATGATGTTGCGAAGGTCAGGAAGACCATGACAGGATTACACATAGGCATGAAGCACAAACGAAAGTAGTAATGGATAGACAATAAAATGTCTCTCACAATTTGACGCAGATAATCTTCATGGCCGGAGCTGGAGTTCTGCAACACTACGTGAGATGACTCTTGGCAGAGTACTTGGGCTCGATCTAGGCTCCCTTTTGACTTCTGCGACCATGGGGAAAAGATTCGCAGAAGCTTCGAAAGTGCCAACTGGTATTGAAAGTGGGGGAGGTCAGTAGAATATCACGCGCGAAGAGGGATCGGGACTGAGATGAATCGTTGTGAGTATATTGATTGCTGTATTGGCACGATTGAAGAAACAAAGTCGGTTGCGAATGGTGTCCGTTACAGTCGCAGAAGCCGAAGAAAGTGGTTGGTTTGTGAGAAGGTAGAAAAGGTCAACAGAAATTCGCCAGTCAAAATTTATATTTTCCCTCCAAGGCTGCGTGCGGGTAAAAGTGGGTACGTTTGCCGAGACTGCCACCCAGCGGCAGCCTTGCATACAGTGGTGGGACACGACGGCATTCAACCCTTGGCTCGTCATTGAGCAATTGTCAGCCTCGTCAACCACCTGGCATCTTGGTGTCGCAAACAACAGATATCTTGACAACGGGGGTTTCCACAAACGCGCAGGCAAAACAACGGGAGAAATCGAATCGCGCATGCCGCCCGATCAACAAATACACCAGACAAGATGGCCATAGACTGGGGGACGTACGTGTATCTCTTTCTCTTTCTCCCACGCCCCCAAATCTACCTCTTAAGCTCCAGCTAACAAGTTAACAGCATCAAATCCCTCCTCATCTTCTTCGGCCCCCTCTTCCTGCCCAAAGCAATATCCTACTACCGCTCCATCCGCGCCGCCTCCCAAACCCACCGCCTCAAAATCATCCCCCTCTCCCCCTCCCTCACCCGCGCCATCGCCATCCTCTCCGCTGTGGCAACCACCTTCCTCCTCCGCGCCCTCCCAATCTTTTCCCCAGAAAACATCTTCGGCATCACCCAATCCCGCCTCCAGATCCCCACCGAAGTCTTGTTCAACCGATTATCCTCCCTCAGGGAACTGCACACCCTCACCCCGCTAGACCTCGCCCTCAAAGCAAAATTCACATCGCTCGAGTCAAGACTGTTGTACCTCCAGTTCGGACCGGATGTCCTAGGAAACTGCCCTTTTTGCAACAGCGACGATCCGACGAGTTATTTGTATTATGCCATCCCGAGTATTTTGACGCCCCATGTTTTTAATCTGGTGGTTATCACGCTGGTGACGTCGAGTTTGTTTTCGGGGGAAAAGGCGGCTGGTTGGCGGACCCCGGCGGCGATTGCGAGTGTGGTGGTGGCGGTGCTGGATTTGTATTTGACGAGCAGTTTTAACCATCAGTCTAACTCGAACAAACTACGGCTGCAGGATCTGGCTTTGTTTTTTTGGAGTTCGAGGCTGATGAGATTTATTTCTCTTGCCATGTTGGATATATTTCTTGCGTTGGCGATATATCTTACTGGGACGAACAGGGCGTTTGTCACGCCGCCATCACCGGCGGAGAGGATAGAGAGTGTCTTGAAGGGGTTGGGGAATATCAAGGGGAAACTGAATGCGGCGGGGGTGGTGAAGAATACGGTTACCAGGGATGAGGGGTTGAGGGGAAGGAGTAATGGGTATTGGGCGCATGAGGTGAGGTTGACGAGGGAGATGATGGAGGAGGAGGAGGTGGTGAGGGGGATGAATGATGCGCTGGAGAATAGGCTGGATGTGAGAAGTTTGGAGAGGGATGCGGAGGAGTATACTAGGGGGGTTTTGGGGGGGTTGATGGGGCTTAATAGTCCTACGGTGGCAAGCGGGGGGGAGGCGGTGCCGGGTACGCCAACTACTACGACGTCGTCGACGACAGCAGGTGGGCACGTTAAGGAGGAGTAGATGGTGGTATCTTGGGTAATGTATGATGATTTAGCGAGCGAGTTCTTTTGGCGTTTAAGGATAATATTAATTGTTATATCAAGAGAGTCTGGTGGTGATAAAGTGCTTCAAACCAGGTTGAATGCCTACAACACCTAACCCTTATAATTTCGAAAGATAAACACCAGCACTACAAAACTCATGTCTTTTGATCTGCCCAAACCCAACAAAAAGAACAACATGCCACATGCCATGAATAATCCATGTCTTTGATGCAATACCATGGTACTATAACTAACCTCCTCCGTTTCATGGATGCCTATATACAAACCAACTACCAATAAGCTATATATTGTTATCTTTCCCACCCGCTTCCCTTCTTCTTCTCTCACGAAATTCAGACACCCGGCCTCGTCCCCGCACTACTAGCACTATCCTTCCTCGACCCCTTGCCTCCCCCACCCACACCCGCCTCATCCACGCTCCTCTCCAAAAAGCTCGCCCAAAGGTCGCTCAAGCTCTCCCCTCTTTCTTTGGGTGTCGCCCCCGCAAGCGAAGCGTTCTGATCAGCAAAAAACTCGCTGTTCAACGCCGGCGAACTAGGCGTGCGATGGAACGGTGAGGTGGGAAGGCGCAAACCTCCTGAAGCGCCAGGGCGGGAGAGACCGGCTTTTTCGCGCTGTTCCTCGCTCCACCCGAGAAAGCCAGCCATGACCTGCAGGATCTGGAAGCGTTTGGGGTCTGAGCGGTCGAGGGTGAGGAATTGGAGGAAGTGGTTTGTTACTAGTTGTCTGTGGGAGATAATTAGTGGTTATCGATCGGCTGAGAGAGGTGTGGGGGGGGGGGGCATACTTGTCGATCATCTCCTCTGGCTTCGTCTTCTTGATGTACTTCAGTGCCTTGGTCAGGTGGTCGTTTAGAACGATGGCTTCGTGACGAAGTTTGCCAATGAGAAGGTTCTTTTCCTTGACCTCCTTTTCAAAGGGGGCGGTCCGTTCGAGTTCCTTGGAGAGGGTTTCCCTTGCTGCTTCGGCCTCGTTGGCTTTTTGCTCGGCTTCCTGAACGCGCTTCTTGAGGGATTGGACGAGCTCTTCATTTGCTTCGACAATGTCCCGGAGTTCCTTCTTGCGAGCGTCTTGGATCTCTTGGAGGGCTCGCTGAAGTCTATCCACCGCTTGGCTTTGGACGTCTCGGTCCCCGACGGCTCTTTCGTAGCCTTCTTTTGTGGAGAGCAATTCCTCTTCCAACTCGGAGACTTTCTCGGCGAGGAGTTCTCTTTGGGAGCGTTCTTCCATGGCGATGACCTCCCATTCTCCCATCGCGGTGGCTGTGCTTTCCAGTTCTTCTCTTAGCTTCTTGACCAGCCTGTCCAAGTCATCTTTTTCCCTGTGCCAATTTTGTTGAGACAGATTGGATCTGCTTCTCAGGCTTGTCAACTCCCGCCCTTGTTCCTGAACCTCTTGCTTCAGCTGCTCCGTCTCCTCCCTTTGGGACTCGATCTGTTGCGTGAGCTGGTCATTCTGCGCTTCTAATTCCTCCACCCGGTCCTTCGCCTCTTCCAGCTCGGCCTTGTCGCGCTTGAGGCGCTCGCCGAGGGTCTCTTTGATCTTCTCAACGCGACCGAGAAGGGTCTGGTATTGGGTTTCCGCATGGTCCTTGGCGGATTCGGATTCTTCGAGGTCGGCTTTCAGCTGGGTAATCTCTGTTGACTGAGCTTCCAATTGCTGGCGAAGCTTCTCTACCTCTTCTTGGAGAACCGAGTTATCTGGTGAGGAGGACATGGTGGCTTCCAGTTTGGTGTTGATGCTGGGTGGTTGCGGGGGCGTCGTCGTTTTCTCTGTTGGTTTGTGTTGGTGGCCGTTTGTGTCGGCATGACCGTTGGCTGGGGGTTCCTCCTCTGACTGTTCAGGCTCGGGCTCTTCCTCCGGCTCTACTGTTTTCTCGGGTTCGTCTTCTGGCTTCACAGATTCGAGTGCCTCGTCTGCTAGCGGAAAGGTGTGCTCGAGCTTATCTGGCGGCGGGGACAAGGGGCTGCCTGGCGCATTCTACCCAATGGGTTAGTACACCTTCAACGACATGAAACCCACGGTCCCGAGGCCGGTAGTAGGCAAGGGGAGGGGGCAAATGACCAGAGTTCCAAACATAGTAGGTTGCGCATACCAGAGTTTCTGGCTCTTGAGACCGGGCGCTCTCAACGCCATCCTTTTCTCCTGGTGGTGGCTCTCGTTGCTTCTGCGCCGCTACGCTGCTGCTGCTGTTGTTCCCGTTGCTACCCTTCCCGCCGTTGTTGGTGTTATTATTATTGTTGTTGGTGTTTTTCTTCTTCTTATTCCTGTTCTTCCTGCTAGGAGTGGTATTTGAAGATGCGGTCGAGGCGGGAACTAATGGTGGTGAATTACAACAATTGCATGATTAGCGCAAAATGCACGTCAAGGGGAGATCTAGGCCTCGTCATAGAAGAAGAAATAGGAAAAAAGACAAGATGGCAAGGTGATAGGTTCCGGTATATGCATGTATTGTAACAGAACATAATCGTAGGGTCTCCCCGTCGGACCAGTTGCGGTCTGGCCACTTGCACTCTTTCAGGCCCTTCGCTTGCTGGGCGGTGGTGCTACCCCCAGCAAAGCCCACATGGGGAACATACCTAGTGCTGTTGATTGGACAGGGCTGCCCTTCGGTGCGGAAGAAGAAGACATGGCTTCCGGGGCAGATTTTAGCAATTGGTCATGGAATCAATGCCCGGGGGATGATGAAGAGGAGCAGAAATGTGGCCCTATGTGTCTTATTTTGCCTGGCTGGCCGTGGAACAAGTACTTGTGTTGAAACAGCAAGGTAGAGCTCAGCGAGTGCCCGCCGTGTGCGCCGCAGCAAGCATCCCACTTCCATGAATTCCGATCCGTTGCTCCACGTCAGCTCGGCCTGTTCCTCGCCCTTGGAAGACAAGAGAACTGTTCCTTGCTCAGAAACAATGCATATTCTTACGTGTCATCTACAGGCCTGAGAAGCTAGCACGAGGTCCCCCAAGGAGGTTTTTAGTCAGGGCTTGCATCTTGATAAATGCTACCATGTTACAGCATGCAGCAGCCGCAGAGCGGCGCAAGAGACGGTGTTCACAGGTGGGGACCAATATTACGTAATCTTCAAGGTCACGGACCAATCGTGGGTTTTTTCACCAACTCCAGGTTCTGCCAGCCGCGAAGAAACTTTCCCTTTTTCTTCTTTACATATTTCACCCTTCCCCCCGAATATTCTTGGAATCCGCCCGCTGGTGCATTTATGTAACAGCAAATGTGGCGTTTTCATCTCTTGGGGAGAAGTAGACAAAACTATCCGCGCTTTATAATCCTGACATATCTCGAATTGATCGTGAAACATCAGTTCACCAAATGAGGGTGCCAGGTTCGCTTGGGGCGGACATGCTACTTCACCATGAAACTTGGTGTGTGAATGGTGTGTGAATTGTGATGTATTTAAAAATCAACTAAAAACTGGCCAACAATGCAATTTTTTCTGTCTTGAGTCGGGGTATCAAGTACTCTTCTCTTTGCCTATATTAGGTATTATGCCCCTCATGGCTTCGTCTTCTTGTTCCTCGTGCTGCTCCTTGTCCCCTTTCTGGGTGTGTCCTCCTTGGGCTCCTTGGCAGCCTTAGTCTTTTTGACCTTGGTCACCTTGGTCTCGACAACCGTCTCAACAACCTCTTCAATCTTCTCCTCAATCTTCTCCTCAACCTTTTCCTCGACGGCGGGAGGGGCCTCGATCTCCTTAGGAGCCTCCTCCTCGGCGGTTCCGTTCTCCAGTTGTGGCTTGGCCTCGGGAGCTTTGAGTTGAGGGATGTCAAACTCGTAGTCCATAAGATCCTTGAGCTTCTCAGCCCGCGCAAGCCGTCTCTGCTCCTCCTTTGTGATCTTGGCCTGCCATTGCGACTCGGAAAGCGGTCTTTCGAGCTGGTTGCCGGCCATCTTGTTCCAGGGGACGACCTTGAAGCGGCGGTTGGCGCCCTTGAAGAGGTCAGGGTGCACCTGCTCAGGCGGCACAACCTTGGCGGTAAGAATGTGGCCGAAGAGAAGGTACTTGTCCATGGTGCGCGCCGCGATATCGGCCACCTCAGCCTCCGCAAACTCAATGAAGGCACGATGACGGCTGGCGCCTGTCTTCTTGTTGCGCACAACTCTCAACTTGGTGATATCGCCGAATTGACCGAAGTACGCCCGGAGCTCGTGCTCGTAGAAACCGTGGGGGATGCGTCCGAGGTAAACGACGCCGGGGTTTCCACTGCTGACTGGGGTCTCCTTTTCCTTCTTCTCCTTCTTCGCCTTCTTGGACTTGGGGATCTTGCCGACATCCTGACCCTTCTGGAAGGTCTCGCTGATCCGCGTTGGCTGTTCCTCCTCGTTGTCGCTGTCAAGGGCCTCAACTAGGGCTTGGGTCTCAAGGTCGACCTCCTCGTCCTCCTCCTCAAAGTTCACAGTCTCTTCCTCGACTGGTTCCTCGACCTTCCTGGCCTTCTTGGTGGGCTTCTCCTCCTTTGTTGGCTTCTTCTCCTTCTTCAGCGCCGACTTCTTGGGGGCCTCCTCGGCGACAACGTCCTTGGCGGGCTTCTGCTTCTTGATGACGACGGGGGACGCATCCTCAGTAGCTGCGAAGAGATGGTTAGACAATTGTCGCTCCAAGACAAATATGGTGGGAGAAAACAAACCCTTGCGCTTCTCGGCCTTGGGGGTTCCGTTGGCGGCCTTCTTCTCCGTGGCAGAAGCTGTGAACCAACTCATTAGTATTCAGTTGTTTGTTTGCCGGATTTTGAATGAACAAACCCTTCGCCTTACGGCTTGCACCGTTAACTGTTCTGGCCATTGTGAATGTTGATGATTGTGTGGGTTGCAGAACAGGATTGTTGCTGGGGCGGGCGCAAAAGTGCAATCCAATGGCTCCGTCCAGCGCTTCACCTCCAGAAAATTTCTGGATTCTGCCAGTGCGACCGCATCCTGGAAGGCGGTGAATTGCCAAGCTCTCTGGTCCCACCTTTAGCTGCACCCCTTGACCCACTCATGTTCACCCCTTCAACCTCACTCTTGTCGACAGCTTCAATAACAGCCGATACAATACTATTTGGGGCCTTGTCAATATTGTATGTTCCGTGAACCCAGAACTCGTCAGTTTCAGCTGGTATCGTCAGCAACCATTATACCGTGACGGACAGTTTCCCTTCCATTATCCCGTTGCTCAACTCTCTTCTCACCCTTCTCAGACCATTCCTCATACCAAACCACATCCTTACAATCCACACTAGCACCTAGCTCATACCACGGGGGCTCAGGCGTCTCTTCACTGCCAGAGAATTGCAGTAGTCAAATCATGCCTATGCCTTGTATTTTGGTTGAAGATACTGCTCGTCCACAGCCTTAGTATCGGTTGCATGCTGAACAAGCTTGTGCTCAAGGATACAGTCTTTACAGTCTTGGAGATAAAGAGTGAAGGACGATGCTAGAAAACTCCATCCTGGTGTTTGGTAAGCTACTGTTTTTCGCTATAAAAATTGTCTGGCATTGGGTGGTGTCGGTATAGGCAACTTCGTCTTTATTGTCTTGAAGAAATCTTGTGTTTTGATGACACTAACTGCAGGACAAATTACAAGGGGGCGGCAGGATTTGAGCATCTTCGCCGAGCATCAATGGCTGCACAACTTCGGTAGATGTTATCTCGGGTTTAATCTCAATCACCGTGCTAATATCGGGTAAGAAAGTCACATGAGAAGAAGAATGGAAATAGGGGCTTGGACCTCAGTATTGAATGGAATTGGTTCATGGGGTCATGTAGTTCTCCTGGATCTACTCTTCCGGAGCCATGGCGAGAATACCCTCCAACACTGATTATCAACCGTGAGGCACAGTCGTATGTTTGTGAATGATCTTTACCAGTAATTCCAGCTCATGTTGTACCAGAACGTTTGGTTTATGCTATCAAGACAGATGCATGGAACCTGAGCTACGGAGTATAGCGCAGCTCATGCGATCTGCGCATCACCTTCTTGGGCAGCATGATACCTTTCCAACAGATGTACGGCATATTTTCCTTCATCGTGTTTGTTGCCATTGCCTAGCAAGCTTGTCGCCAAGGCGAGTACTCCCTCGTTTCCAGGTTACCAAATGTATCACCATCAACACCCCCAATCTCACGATCATGTATTGAGAACGGTCACCCTTCTCTCCTTGATCCGCAGTTGCATCAAGCTCATGCCATCGAGTTTCCGGTGTCTGCTGAAGCTCTGTTATCCCTGGTGAAACTGGAAGTTCGCAAATTTCACCAGTTGTCGAGTTTGGATCCTTCTTGGCCTGTCTATGCGGCTTGGCAGTCAAAGAGTCCCCGTGAAGCTGTGCCTTGTCCCATATGCCATTGTCGGCCCTTCGCTTCCTTAGCCTTCTTCGAATCAGATAGGCTACAACTCCAAAGAGAATGAACGCTGCTATCATGGAGCCCACGACGACTCCGATCAAGGCACTTCTGCCTAATGTGCCTGCATCGTCATTTGAGTTGGATCCGGTGACTTCGAGGGTTAGAATAATTGCTCTCAGTCATATGAGGCGGCACAGCCATTCCCGTCATTTGTGCATAACACCCCCTTCATTATGTTCAACCTATTCTGAGCGTTACCATCCTCATTTACCCTCCTGCCCTTAAACCTTTCTCCAGTCATGATACAGAGCCACCGACTCTCAACTCTTCAAAGCATTTCACCCCTCCCACCCCCCTCCCTCTTCTCGAAATGAGCACAACCACCATC